GCCGAAAGAGCGAGCGAAAACCGTAGGGTTAATGCTTCGTCAGGTCTCCCATCCAGAGCCAACAGTACAGCCGATGAGCACGCCCCTAGTACACAACCTCGCGTTCCTGGCCAAGTGGCTAAGACGGCTGTTAACTCCAGCAAGCTGATGCAACCAGAGCAACGGCCAAATAAGTGGATTGTTCGAAGAAATCTTGCTATCACTTCCCTGACCAGGCAAGACCCGCGGCCAGCAATGCTTGAGGTAGCAAACCCTCGTGGCAAGCCTGTATCACCATTGTCGTTTCAGAGGTCGCTCTCTTTGCTTGACCGAAACTATCGGCACAAACACCTACCGAAAGCACGGCAGAGTAACTTGGTCTTAGATCGCTTCATCTCAAGCCGCAGCTCATCTCCTGCTACTGCTGGCGCCCAGACCACTGGTACGAGTCAGTCTGCGAATAAGCCGGATGTCAGGCCGCCAGGGGCGCGGCCACAAGCTCAGCGCCAATTGAAGAAGCGGCCGCCGAAGCGGCTGGCAGTCAATGACAACCAATTTCAGCGACCTTTGGTTCTAGAATCAACGGATCCAGAGCCCCTCCTACAGAATGGAGATTTGCCTATAGACAGCTCATCTGATGCGCTACATGGGTTTAAACCTTCATATAGCGTGGCCTTCAACATATTTCCCTTGTCTACAGGCACATTCTTCCACCAAACCACATTTCTCGGAAGTGGGCAGTTTGCGCACTCTCTGGAGTTCCTCAAGAGAGATCTTGACAGAGATGCTGGCTTTCTCTCGTTCAAGGCTGGGGATAGAGCTTTTCGTTGGGGCTCGTGGAATGACGCGGTGTCTTCGGAGTTAGGTTTGGTCTTCGACAGCATGATTGAGACGATTGAGAAGAACGATGCCGGACTGACTGGAACACCGGGGCATACTGAAAAGAATGATTGTAGCTTATACAAGTGCCTGATCAAGTATGTTAGGGATACGCTCTCCTTCATCGACCCCGTCGACAGGATAGGGTTCGTGAGACGGGCTCTGAGCCTTGTCTGCAAGCTCAATGATACTCTGACAACTCTGGCCCCAAGATCTGAGCACGAGATAGACTACTTGGCAGCGATATGCTCGTACAATTCTGTATTTACGTACCTACTTCTTCAGATTTCCGGGCATGACCTTGTCGATGATGCACTTACCCGGGAGGTGTTGGGTTCGTTGACCCGAGCCGCCAAACAAACCATCACCCTTGTCACGACCCCATTGGGACAGAGCAGTATCCGCAGGCTGCTAGCAAACATCGAGTCTCCTGAGAAGCGCGACGCAGGAATTCAGGGCGACCATCTTGTTGCCGAAGCCTATGTTATTGTCCGACACATTCTTCGCGGTACAGATAGACTAAAAGGGTGTCTTGAGGAGCTTCTGACGGAATCCTACGCGAGTCAAGATAATGACTTGGTGAACCTGGCAGATATCAACCGGCTAGAGCGGGTGTGGCACTGTGTATTCACTACCTTGCCTTTGGACGAACTCGATGCTTCTGGCATTGCTCGAATAGGGTCGCGCTTCTGGGAAGCCCACGGGAACTGGGCCATTGTAAAGACACTGCTCCGTCCAGTACTGGACCGTTATGATGCCACATCTATAACGCAGCCGATCTCATACTACAAATACTGCAGAACACTGTTCCACAGATGCTTCTATCTCATTAATGGTTGGGGCTGGAGAGACTGCAAGCCAATACTCGACACTCTCTATGATTTCTTCGCGAAGAACACTCTGTACAACCTGAAGCACGAGGAAGGTTATAGGTCTCCTGCGTTCCTCGACGAACTCGATCAGAAGCCTTCCCTGGAAGTGCAAGCAGACGACCCATGTTTCCACATTCTGCTGAAGATCATTGCAAGTGGTCTGCGTTACTTGGTCAAAATTTACGACCAGAAGAAGGTTCGCAATTTTGCGTGGCGTCTGCTGCCAAACCATGGCCGCGTATATCCAAAAGAGAAGCCCATACGTCAGGAGGACTTGGATGCACTGAGGAACCACCATGATCTCCTGTGTACATTGTATTACGCTGTTCCAGACGGGTGCCGGCCTCGCCTTCAGACAATCAGGGACCTTGTCCATCCGGCCAGCTCCCATCGTGAGACATGCAACATCAGTATTCGCTCCTGGGCTAGGCTTGTCCGCTTCAAGCTCTCGACAAACGAAGATGTTGCTGGGCTCGAGCCATTTTCTGACTGGCATAATTATTTTGTGTCCGAACTTTTGAAGCAGCATGCACTTGCACGCCAAGAAGTTGAATCACAGAATGCTGCGGGCAACAAGTTCTCCGATCAGTTAGTTGAGAGAACGATTGCACAGAACCAGCGACAGATCGAGTCCTTGCTGAAGACCGCGCTCAACGGTCTGAATAGTGCTATTCGCTCAGCACCAACATTGCAACACGCCCATAAGCTTGTCTTGGGAGCACCTATCAAAGCACTACTTGGTCTCTTTAACGCCCGGATTGCTCGTGTCAATACCACTGTTTCTGATGCGCTCCAAGTAATTGTCACTTACGTTCAGAAGTGCGACTCTCCTCCAGCAGCTGAAGAAGCAAGTGCCCCTGTGGCGGTTGATGAAGACAGCCAAGAATATGGGGACTGGGCGGACATTGCGGCTGCCTATGGCGAGTCTCCAGCGATAAGTCCGGAAGTCGAATACGTGGAGAAGATTCTTCATCCTGCTGTGTTCCAACTTATATCGAACTGCTTTGGTGAGGACTACTGTCCTGAAGATGCAATCCTGCTTAGTGTTGTGGAGTGCTGGACGTCTATTGCGCAGACCCTTGTCAAACATGGCTTGCGACATTGGGACAGCTACCTTAGTCCCTATAACGGTGACTCCTGGACATCACTCCGATTGACGATGCAAACAAGGAAGTTCACGCCTCTCTTCCTGGCAAACAGCATTGAGAAAGATCCGCAGTTTGCGGCAGATTGCAAAGTCCAGGTGATCGGGATGTGGGTATCGAGTCTGGTAGAGCGAGTCTCGTTGTTGAAATACCAGCATCGCCTAACAGAAGCTTTGTTGAATCAGGTGGTGGCGGAGCCGCTATTGCAGAACCTGCCTTTTGCCAGGGACCGAAAAGAAGGAAAGTATCTGATTTTTTTGGAGGATCTAAGCCAGCGCCGTGTTTCTCTGATATCGAGTGTCCTCTCCAACATGCGTGTGCATTTGCAATTGCTGGAGGACGTAAAAGCCCGCGAGCTCTCCACTACTAAGCAGGAGTACAAGGAGATCATCCAAAATATGATGTCCGCCATGAAGGCAAACTACCTGGAACTGGGTAACGGTGCAGCCAGCGTCCAGGGCGCTTACGTGGACTTTGTTCATCGGATTGTCGCGTTCCTGCAGCAGCACAGTCGAGATATTTGCCCTATCGACCCCTTCTTTACCGACCCTGCGTCGTTTCCTCTACCTTCTGGTGATCCGACGTATATTGTGGCCCGGTTGAAGAGCTACGAGCCGAAACTTTCATCGGAGAAAGTAGCAAAGACGCTCATCATGTTCGTTCAAAGTGTTTCTGAGCGAGCGGCGATCGATGGGCAGCAGGACTACCTCGTCAATCAGCTACACGCATCCATGGCAGACACCTATGAGGCTGGCCTTCCCAATAAGCCAACCCTGAGAGCGACCTTGTTGCAGGCAGTGTTCCCAGCTTATCTCGAGGCGTCTTTCAGCAATCCAGCATGCTGGATTCTAAGCCGGCCCATCATCCAGACCATCACGCTCGTCTTCCAGGATCTCTTGTTCAATATGGACACCACGGACTCTGCTTGCGTGGCATCCCTCGTGAACATCATCCACTCTATCTTCCAAGCATCACACACCGCCCTCCTGTCCATGGCGAGCAATGCCACCATGTTGAACGATCCTGTCGTGGCACTCAGCGCCGCTGCATTCATCAAGATGATCACAGCCGCCTTGCCAGTCATCGACTACATAGACCGAACAACCGACATGGATCAAAGAATCCTCGCCCAGGTCCACGCCTTCCAACACTACGTGACCTTCGCCACGAGCCATCTCGACCAACACCTCTCAACCACAGACCTGTACAATATGCCCCACTCCACCGAAGCTTTCATCACAGGAGATACCTCCTCATCTATAGCCACGAACCCGCCATTCTTCCCCGATCTCCAGCGTTCCACGGCACGAGAACTGAACCTCTACCTCAACGAGAGCTGGTCCCGTCACCAAAAGAAATTCTACTTCACCCGACGAGGCGGACATCATCCGCAAGAAATCAGCATCCAGCCTTCTGTCGCTGCGGGACTCGAACAGCCCCCGCAGAAGATCCTTGGTCCTGTTGTCCAGGAGTTCTTGGATGTGGCGAGAGGACTCGATCTTGATGTTGCTGGTGACGGTGATCTCGTGCGAATTGAGGATAATCTGTTTGCAGTTCAAGATTCGGATCAGGTGTCAGCGTCTGGATCTGGGGATGAGAATGCGATATATACTCTCGACCTCGTCGATGTTATTGGATACTGAATGGCTGGAGACATTATAAACCTCACAGGCATGATAGAATGCCTGTGGTATTGATATTAGCATTGATAGTGATCTTGTACGATACTCCACTTTTTTATTCTTTTGGATGAAGAATTAGATAATTGAAAGATGAATTGCTAATATTCTACCTTTGCTATGGATAAATTAATAACAATACTATATATACATATTGCTTGCATTTAACACCGAGCAGAGAAGTGAAAATGATACATCAATAAAAGGAGATTGACCCCAAGAGATAGTATCACATGTACCCCCAATCGAGGTTTCCTCGTTTGATACAGAAACAAACCAATACTAGGGAGATACCCGTATAACTTGAATATAGACATAGACATGATTACTACCTGATGAACAGTAGAAAAGACCAAGCAAAGCAAACCGATCCAACCCAATGAGATTCCATTCCGTAATTACCATTCCAACCCATCGATTCTTACTACCAACAGCTACTAGCATACTCAATCATTTTCAACCGAGCTGAACCCATCAAACAGCTTAGCAAGCGAGAATGCAGCATGCAATTTATTCTCCAAATTTCACCGCATAAGCGTAAACATACATACACATCCGTTCCATTATCATCCCGCTCATGGCATTTATAGAAGGACACCATCAAAACTGTCATCTGGCTGGCATGGTCCGAATCACAGTGTGAAATAGAGGGTGATAAAAAAGGAAACACACGAACAAAGCAATAGGTAGGAGGAGCATATATGGATCTCGGAGTAGTAATGGGGGAAAGGGAATATAGGTGATAGTTATAGGTATGAGATATGAGGGGAGGATGAGAAGCAAGAGCAAGAGAAGGAAACCCAGCCATATAGTAATGAGGAAGGTAGTTAGGGATCGGTAGAGAAGAAACTAGGTAGTGAGATAAGAGGAAAGTGCCAGTAGCCAATATGCATGACAAATTAATTATGCACGCCCGTGCATGTATGTATGCGTGTGGATGCATGCATGCATGCGAGCGTCCATTTGATAAGTCATGAGAACCTCCAAACCGGTACCCGAACCCAAAGTCATCGTGATAGTCTGGCTTAGCTTAGCTTAGCTTAGCTTATTTACAGCAAATCAAAGCATTGTCATCAAAGTCATCGTCATAATAGCGAGGCGAGGGTGAATAGGAGAAAAAAAAAGTAAGGTAAAGTATACTAGCAACTATTGGTTCACACCTCCCTATACTAGCAACTATTGGTTCACACCTCCCTCAGCACCCCCTTCATTCTGCTGACTGCTTGATCCTCTCCGGTGGAACGGATGATGGGGATGAAAGCCTGAAAAGTGAAAGACTTTGCGCACGGCGCTGGCTACACCCGAGCGCCGCTTGGACTCGGGCGACGACGGCGGCTTATCTGCGGGTTCCTCAGGTTTGGGCCGCACCGTCGCGGTGTCTTGGAGCACGATTGAGGAAGGTTTCGGGGGCCATTGGCCGTCAGATTTCCATCCTTGGACCATGGCCTTGGTTACATCTGCCAGATTGATCGGCACAGTGGGGGTGAGACCCTGGATGACGACTTTTGAGTAAATGGATGGGTACATCGCTGGGGTGATGGAGGCGCGGATGGGGTTGTCGTTGGAGATGAGGGACGAGACGACAGGAATGAAAGGGTCTTCGCTACTGGGTTGTTGATGCGTAGAGTCGGACTGAGTCAATCCGGTATCTGCGGAGGAAGAAGACTCTTCACCTTGGTTCTCGTCGTCCCCTGCGGGGGGAGGCGGGGGTGGTTGTTCTGCTGCTGTGGAGGGTTCTTCGCCGCGAGATGGCGGCCGTGGGAGCGCGCCATCGTTCTCGGCGATGCTGAGGGAAGCTTCAGTTCGCAGGGCGAGGTCGTTTTGGGAATTGGCCGAAGAAGCGGAGAGGGGAGGGGTGGCTGCTGTGGTAGCAGCAGGCACGGACGCATTCTGTGGTAGTTCCGAGGATGATGTCGTAGGCGTAGCAGCCTGCTGGGTCTTTGCTTCTCTTGCTCGAATCTCGTCCCTTGAGAGAGCTCCAGACCACGCGTCCCGACGCTCTACCCATGTCCGGAGGCCTTTGTTCCATTGCATTTCCTCCTCCATCTGGCGGCGCCGTTTGCGCCTCCGCTCGGAGTCGTCACTGAGCGGGGTTCCGAGCGGGCTGGCAAGCTCAGAGGCATTGTGCTGTTGTTGTCCACCAACAGGGCTGATGGCGGGCGACGGCTGGGGTTCTAGCTCGGAGCCGGAGCTGTCATATTCGCGTTGACGCCAATGTAGGACATCTTGGCCGGGAGTGGGGGGAGATGAAAATGATGGCACGCCAGGCTCGGAGGAGGGTTCAAAGACCCAGTCGTTCCGGACGATCTCGCGAACATAGCGCTTCGCATCTCGGATGGCGGCATCGCGGGCCTCGGTTGCCATTGCGAGGGGATTTGCCAGAGGGGCAGCAAAAGGTTAGGAGAGAGGCGCGGGGGTTCTTTTTGTCGCGTGCGGAGGGAAAGAGAGCCTGCAGATAATCTGCAGGGTGGGATAGCAGTTGGCCGCCAAGAGGGAAGAATAGAAGCGAGGAACTGAAACTGAAACGATGGTGGCGGGGGAAGGAACAGAGAAAGAGAAGTTGGCGAAGGAAGAGAAAGAAGGTTGGCTGATCCAAGGAGAGCTGCCGCCTCGTCGATGTCATTCAAGTTACTGTTGCATCTTCCTCTTTTTTTTTCCTTTTTCAGTCTTTCTTCCCCGCGAACTTCACCCGGTGCCGCAACCGATTAATTCATCATCACATTTGATGGACTGGCGTCTATTATATTCATAGATAATCTTAACCCATTTGTTACGATTTAAACTGGGATCGTCTTCCTGCTGCGGTATTGTATTGATACATTGTGGTTCGTGTCGCTAATCAGTTCGTAGTATACAAGCCCAGTTCCTGCCCTTGCGTGCCATTCCAATTCCATCCCAATCCAGTCCTACACAAAACGCGAAGAAGATCAAGTTGATCTATGTGACATGAAAAACAAAAACATCCAAGCAATCCATTTCTATTTGACTCCCAATTGTTTAATGCTGTACAATCGAACCAGTTCAGGTCCGGACGCGCGCCGCATCCACGCTAGCTGCCGACTCGTCCATGCCCGCCGGCATGAAGCCCCAGCCAGGAGCCTTCTTGCGTCGGCCCTTGCGGTCGCCATACTGCTCGTCGAACTTGCGGATTGCAGAGAGAGATGACATATCCTCGCTGATCGATGCGCTGATCTCCTCCATACCACGCTCGAAGTGCTTCCAGGTCAAGGTGCGTCGCGCGGGATACTGGTAGGGCTCCTCGCCTTGGTGCTGCGCTGCCAGGTCGTTCTCTTCCCGGACACAGGCCAAAGCGGCCGCAACAGAAAGGTTCTTGAGGTCGGAACCGGAATACAGAGGCGTGCGACGAGCCAGCTCGGCCAGATCAACCGAGCTGTCCAGGGTCTCGTCCTTCAGGTGGATCTTCAGGATGGCCAAGCGATCCTGTTCGGTCGGAAGGTCCACCAACAGTCGCCGGGGGAGACGCCGGAGAACCGCATCGTCGAGATCAAATGGCCGGTTTGTAGCAACCATGATGAAGGCCGACATGTCGTTCATCCCGTCCCACTCCCGCAGGAACTGGTTGATAAGCTCCCGGTGCGACGTTCGGCTGCTGGCTCCAGTGCGAGAACAGAAGATGGCATCGGCCTCGTCGATGAACACAACGCAGGGGCTCAGCTTCTTAGCCAGCGTGAAGATGGCCTTGACGTTCTTTTCGCCCTCGCCAACGTACATGTCGTAGACTTCGGATCCGCTGACTTCCAGGACGGTTGCACCGCTTTCACGGGCGACGGCTTTCGCCAGGAGGGTTTTACCCGTACCTGGGGGCCCGTAGAGCAACAAACCAGGGATCTTGTCAGTCGCCAGGACACCGTAGGTGAACGCTTCGGGTCGGATCAGGGAAAGAGAGGTCAGGGTCTTTAATGCATCGATAGTTTCAGGTGGCACATGGACATCAGAGAATGTCGTGCGAATGCTTTTGGCATCCACGACTCCATTCAATAGCTTCTTCTCATGTGTATTGCACGTTTTCCGCAACGAGCCTAACAAGCGCTCCCGGTCATTTCCTGTCTCGGCCGCCTTCGGTTTAGGCGTTTTCTCGTGCAGCCAGTCATTCTTGACACGCTCAGTCTTCTGCATCATCTCGAGTCCTCGTCTAATGTGATCATACCCGAAGGCTTCATCTGCTCCCAGAGAACCAAGTGCCAGAGTCGTAGCCCAGTGAACCTGGCTGTATGGCCAGTACCGCTCATCAAGGCCACTTTCCTTCACGAGGGACGCATCCAAAGGCCAGGCGCGATTACGGTAAATGTCGTCCTTGAGCGCCGAAGGGCTATCGGCGAGTCGCGTTCGGAGCAGATCTTGGACGTGGCGAATGTTGATATCAAGAGTCCGCGTCCTGCGGTCTTCTGCAAATACGCGCTCTGCCACCTCCGACTTCATGGCGGGCGTGATGACCAGCATCTGGGAGAATTGATCGTCAAAGGCATTTTGCATGAGCTTGGCCGCGTCCGAATCGGGTGCAGCTTCTTGTGCCGATGTACCAATGAAGAGGACCCGGGAACCTGCCTTTCTCTTCTCCTCTATAGCCTTTTGTAACAAAGTGATGAACTTGGCGCCCTCGCGGGTGGTCTGGATGTCTCCATAATCCTGGACTTGCACGATGACGTCTCGCTCCAGGGAGGGACTGCGGCCTTCCATCACTTCATGGGCAGCAGGGTCTTCACCTCCTGTCGCTGCTGGCGAGACCTGCTTCGACGGCTTGCTAGGCGAGGAAAGAAGCTCCCGAACAAGTCGAAGTCGCCTATCCTCTGCGCGACTAACAGCACTTTGTGATGAAGAGCCACCTATCTGGTCCGCCGGCGCATTGAACGAGGCCACCAACGACTTCAGGCCCATTAGGTTGGGAAGCGCGATATCTCCCGAGTCTCGAGTGCTCTCAATAGTTATAAATTTAGGACGCAGACCCGACCGGAGACTGCGTGGTGTGTCAATGACGTCGTCCTCAGCATCCCCATCACCCATGCCGTCGTCTTGCCAGGTATCAGAGAGGGACGGCCGGTATACCTCGTAGCCAAGCGATCTGATGGGCGACGTTGTGCCGATGTCCGCCAAATCTTGTTCGCTGCATAGCTGGGCAATGTCCTGCGCGTTGAGTGTAACCAAATCCGCCCCCAACTCTTGCGCCAGCCTCTTCACCACCGCATCTAAGAAAAGGATACCATCGGTGCCCGGGTACTGAAGGACAAGGTGCGACTTGCGTGCGGAGGGCTCTTGGGCGTACTTGGCTGGCGGTAGCCGCAACCCGGCTCGGGCAGAGGCGCACAGCTCTTCCCACAGCGCTTCCGTCAAAGCATACCGATCCTCCGGAGTATCAGATCCCTCAGGCGCAGGCGGCTCTTCGCCACTACCGCCCCGTCCTAGCTGTTGTGTGGCCTCCTCCTTCTCCGGTTCAACCTCCGTCGGCCGTATCTTCACATGCTGTAGTAATTTGACGTCACCGTCCCCCTTTCCATCATTGACCACCGTGTTTCGCTCGTAGAACCAGTCGGGAACAGTGGCGACTGGAGCAGTCCACTCCTTCGCCGGTCGTCTGTTCCGCAAAGCTCTGCGGACCGCCGAACCGTAGGGACTCGCGTCTTTCTTGTCCAATCGGTCTGTGGAAGGTGATGCAACAGAAGCATCACGGCTAGCTAGGGTGGGTTCTGCACTGTGAACAGGAAAATCACCGGGGACGTTCCCTGTTGTCGAATCACGAGCATTATGAGGATCTGAAGGAGCGGACGACAGCCATGGTCGCGAAAGATGGAACCGACGCGAATGCGAGACAACGGCGGCGGGATAGCGGCGATGCGCGATGAAGCGGCAGGGTCGTGCTACAGACCGAAGGAACCTGCCTTGGTACATTGACGAATACATCCGGGGCCAGTAATGCCACCGGAATTGGACAATCGAGTTACTGCTCACGCTGCAGGGAACAAACCGTCTGCATCAGCGTGGGTGCAAGTTGGATTGAGGCCAGCAAGACTTTCATCTTGCCTTTCTGGACTGTTCCTTGCGGGTCGGCTCTCCTTTGTCAGCGCCGAACTGTAGTATCACGTGACCAGAAAGACTGGTGGCTGCTGCAAGTGCAGAAACCCAGTGGATCAGGCAGAGAGGATTTAAGCTTGATTGCAGTGATCTAACCACCAGGAAAGGCCAACACCGTAGGTGTCAACTCGACATGATGCATCATCCAGGGCGAGGCTGTTTCGCTCAGCTGCACCTTTTCCTCTCATAAGAACTACTGCGGCTTACGGAAAGTATAATTCAACGAATACCCAATCTACGGTGAACAAGAAAAATAAGAGTGGAATGATCCAGAATTGAATGGGTTTGTTATTTCCAGTTTGTTCTAACTGTGAATCTGCACGGAATGGCGCCAGCCAGAGCAGATGATCGACACCGAAGCAAAGCCTGATGCAACCGGATTCCTGTACCCCACCACTCATGCTGGTTTGACAACACAATCGACGTCAGAGAGAAAATAAATTAATAGTCCTAGATTGAAAACCTTGATGAATGTCAGCCAATACTCCCATAATATAGGATGAATGACAGCGAGGCACAGAAATGCAATAATGGTAATTTTCTCAGACAAAGTATACTGGCAAGTAGCAGACCAACCGGGAAAGGAAGGTCCGAACTATCTCCTCATGGACGATTCAGAGGATAAAGAAGAAAAGAAGGTTTTGTCATCTTCGAAATGGGGATGAGGGGAAGAAACAATTGCGGGAAAGAAAATGAGGAATTGAGACTAACCTTGTGACAACTGGAAGTGTTGCAGCACAACCTGATGTGTTAGTGTAGTGGTCTGATGTATCAGTCTCAGTATGCATTTATACTGCGAAAAGCTACTACTGGGCATAGGATTGACGCGTGGCGTATCCAAATGAGAACCATGAACATTGTAGGTGCACAGGATCAAATTGCAAATCTGAGAAAAGTCAGAAAAGCAGCCTGGCAAGAGTGTTTTTGAGCCATGAGGAGGCGAATGCTGAAGAAGAGGAAGAAGAAAAACCAAATCGCGACCGAAAATAATAAAGGCTGCCCACGCGCAAGAATATTATTCCGGCTTCCACGTGATGCCGGCTTACCCGAAAGAGGCATAGCGAGCAAGTCGCGGTGGGTGGCCATCGTGAAGGATGGACGAATCACGAGCGGGAAAAGAAAAGCCTCAGCAGGCCGGAGGAAGGAAGAAGATCTCGCCATGGGCCTCTCTCTCTCTCTCGCTCGCTCTCTTTCTGAGTGTTGTCCGGCTGTAACTCTCTTTCGCTGGCTTGTCCCTTTCCCTGCCTATCTTCTGCTTCCCGTACGGTTCCTGTTCCTCCCTCCCCATCTCTCTCTCTCTCTCTCTCTCTACCTCACTCTTTTTTCCTTCTCTCTCTCTCTCTCTTCTCCCCCATCATTCCTCTCCCGCCTCCTCCAGATTTTCCTCCTTTCCCCCTCTTCCCGCTACTGGGCTGCTAGTTCTGTTGCGCGTGGTGAGTGTCTTTGGGTACCACTTTAATCTCTCTTCCCGCGAGGTTCGGTCCAGCACGCCCCGTTCGTTATCGACCGATTGAACTGGCGATCGCGACAGGTGCCCGTCTCGCTTTTCGTTGGCCCCTAGCCCCTCCACACCTCCCGGCCTCCCTAATCCCATCACTACCAACTTTACTAGTCTACCTACTTTCACTGCCCAGCATCCCATCATTTCCTCCTGCTATCTCTTACCACCACAACCACCCACCACCACCTCCCATTCTCCGATCATCCACCCCCAGCCTCCTTCTATCGCTCCCTCCCCCTAACATTGGAGGTGTAGGAACCTCTCCTCCCTCCCGATCTGGTGGGCACAGGTGATTAGGCCGGTCCGATCCATGCTCCAGATCTCGTGTGGTCCTGGGTGATACCGACGCAGGCTCAATCGCCCCGTCAGCTGCGTCTTGGCCTCCGCTCCGACACTAAAAGCGGCCTGTTGTGCCTCCACGTCAAGCGCGCTCCTCGAGTCCGACGCCCGCCCTCTGCGTGCCGGATAGTCGACACGACCGTCTCTTGCCTTTCTCGCTCGACGTCTCTCTTTTTAGACCTCCCAATTTGCCTTCCTTGTGCTATATAGTCGTGCTCTCTATTCTTTCCCCCCTCCTTCCCGTCCTTCACCGACTTTGAGGAGTCCCGTTATCGGCGACTTCGTAACCACGACATGATGATGGCGCAACCGTTTCCTGCCCATCAAGGCATTCCACAGCATCCTGGCTTGCCTCCAGGTCATCCAATGGCTCCCGGTCAACATCCCAATGCTCATCCCGGTGCTGGCATGGTCCAGCAGGTGCATCCCGGAGTGTCGGCACCAGGAGGTCCTCAGGTCAGTCAAGGCGGACCGGTGATGGGTGGGATGCCTCCGGGCGCTGGCACAACTGGTCCGGGGGGTGCTGTACAGGCTCATGCCCTCTCGCATCTTGGCCCTGCTCAAGCGCACATGTTCCAGCAGCCGCATTTTGCACAACAATGTACGTTTTCTCGAGTTTTTCTTTCCAGGACTGCCCCCTTTCCGCCGTTGCCCTGCACGGGTTAATATTCTCGTTGCTTTTTCCCGTTTGTGTCGTTTCTTTTCTTATGTAGTAGCGTGCTAATTTTTTCATCACTATCACTTAGTTGCCAACAACCCTCAACTCCTGCAGCAGCACCAGCAACAGCAATATCTCAGGCAGCGGATGATGCTCCAACATCAACATCAACAACAACAACAGCAGCAGCACGGCGGGTTACCAGTGCAGCTACCGAATGGGACACCTGCCCTTAATGCAGCTCAGATCGCGGCCATGCAAGCGAATCCTGCCATGCGTCCGGTTAATCTGCAAATGCAACTCCAACAAATGCCCCATGGGCAGCCGCAAAATCTTCAGCAGCAACAACAATTCTTCGCTATGCAGCAGGCCCAGCAACAAGCGCACCAGGCTCAGGTCCAACAGGCGGCTGCAGCAGGGCAACCCGGCCAGCAGACGCCTCAGCAACGTGCAGCGGCACAACCCCAGAACGTACACGATGCTCAGAGTGTCACTCCTCAACCTCAGCCGGGACCGCCGCCACACCAGGGGAGTGCCACCCCTCAACCCAATCCCCCGCCGGTACCTACTTCACAACCACCGCAACAGCAGCCGGCCGCTCCTCAGCCGCAACCTACTCCCAATCCGCCTCCGCAACAGCTGCCGCAGGCCCAGCAACCGGGCCAGCAACCACAAGCGCCCCAAGCTGCCCAAGCCCAGCCTCAACCTCAACCTAACCAGCAGGGTCCACAGCAGGGTCAACAACAGCAACCGATGACTGCCCAGGAGGCCCAGATCAAGGCGCAACAGCAGCAAAACCCCGCCGCCATGATGATGCAGCAGCAACAGCAACGGATGAACATGAAAGGCGCTGCAATTCTGCAGCTCAACTCTTTTGCCGAAAGTCTTAGCTACATCTCTGTATGTCAATTTCACTTCTTTCTTTTGGCTCACTGTGTCCACCTGGCCGAGTACTAACTGCTAGCAGGGTACTGAGAACGCGAGCACTGATTTCAATCAATGGCATGGCTTCGTGCTTAGATTCTATTCGCCAGGCGGTGTGCTCAGACATACCGTCTGCAACCCACAAGCAAATTCCTCCAAGCAGTTCGAAATCGCTACCCCTGCTTTGGCGCGCTATTACTTGACCCAGTGTACGAGTGGGATCAAACATATCCAAATGCTGGTTGATGGAGCGCGGGAAAGGGATTCGCCGAACGGAGGCCACATAGTGGAGAGTGCGAAGACTGCTTTTATCTATTGGTTCGCGAATGGAAGTCAGGTATGCATGCTCGGCCCTTGCACCCCCGAAATGTACGTTGTCATATTAACGTGGACTAGCTCTTTGCGCGCGCCAACATGACGGCTCATTTCGATATGAACAACAAGATTGAAATGCTCGATATAGCGGTGCTGGATCACAACGAATACCTGCCTAGGAGTCAGCTACAGGCTCTGGAGCTGTCCGACCAACAAAAACAAAGTCCCAAGGTGTCCAAGAATATGGGCAAACGCGCCCAGGCCAAACAAGCACAACAGCCTGCGTTTACCTTGCCCGAATCCATGGTCACTCCGAATGGCGTCCCCACGGCTGTGATGAGTTTCCTTGAGGTGAGCCCTTCCACGTGGTTGGCATAAAAGTACTCTTCTGACGTTCTTGTGCTGTAGGTTGCGGAAACCATTTCTCACATGCAGGTCCTATTCCAATTCTCCCAGCAGAATCCCCACTTAACACCCTCCGAAGCCCTGCGGACTCTGGTGAACACGATGCAGGCGCCGGCTCCCAATGCCGCTTATGTGCAAGGTCCCATGAACCCGGCCCTACAGCAAGGCCAGCCACGGGCTCCCAGTATGAGCATGCCTAACCAATTTGCATCTCCCGCCATGACTCATCTCGGTCTGCCGGGCGCTCAGGGCTCGCCCCATTTGACCGGCTCCGCGCATCCCAGTCCCGCCCAGAGCCACCTCGCGGGGCCCCCGGGAATGGTTCCCCAGGGTCAAGTACAAGGCAATATGGCGCAGGGGACCAGTGCGAGCGCAAGTCCTAATGTGGGCAACAAGCGCCGTCGGGCCAGCACCGTGAAGATGGAGAACGATGAGACCGGTGGGGGTCCCGAGGTTAACGGGACAGCCGGCCAAGCTGCCCCCAAAGTCAAGGCCAGTCCTCGAGTAGGGGCTAAAAAGCAGAAGGGCGGTGGTTAAGTTGTTTATCTCGACCAGCCAGTAATATTGCCGGTAGCATGCTTGCCGCTGGTCTAGGTGTGCTTGTGTCTTCTCTTTTTCTACTTCTGAACTCTTTTCTCTTTCAGTCTCACTCGGCGGGGATATGGCGTACCTTTAGGATACCTATGTGCGAGGCTCTACTTCTGCGTTCCGAACCATCTGCGGGATTCCTGTTATATGTTGAACATAGCTGCCGATTTCGTTCCCCTTTGATGTCTCATGCGAAAGATGGAGATGCGTGTTATGTGGATTTGCGTTGGGCTTACTGATTTTGCCGTATTTCTTGACTGATGTCCCTATCTGCATGTGCTTTGCCGCCTGGGGATTGAGGTGCGGTTGACACATATCCTGAAGTTGAGCGTTGCAGGATTTTTGATATCCACGTTTTTATCATGGGCGATTGAAGTGCTCCGGCGTCCGGTTCTAACCTCCCTGGAAATAATTCTGTGTTGATAGTTGCTGCCGTTACTATTGTTACTACTGTACGTGTGGAAGAGCAATGCATTTCCTACTACTACTTTTTTATGAATGAATTCATGGTACCGAACATCACATCCGACTAGTTTGGCGGGGACTCTCCACTAGTGACTGCGCCTGGCATCGGCATCGGCAGTCTCCGGCCTGGGGCTCCCCTCCCAACGTGAGTTGACGAGTTGACCCCTCCATCCACTAGATACTTTCTTTCTATCTCCTCCCTCCACTTTCTCTTCGTTCTTTTCTTTCTTTCTTCACTACTATTCCTCAGATCGGACCCTCCCACCATGTCTCACTCTCACTCCCACGACAACGATGTCAGCCATTCCCACGATGACTTCGGTGGTCACGGCCACTCCCATGAGATCCTCGACGGTCCCGGTTCATACATAAACCGTGAGATGCCTCTCTCGGAGGAGCGTGACTGGAAGGACCGTGCCTTTACCATTGGCATTGGAGGGTAAGTCACAGCAATCATACTATTACTTATTATCCTCGCCTTCCATCTAACTCACCCATGTAGACCCGTCGGATCGGGCAAAACTGCCCTCATGCTGGCCCTCTGCCAGGCCCTCCGCGACGAGTACAACATCGCCGCCGTCACCAACGACATCTTCACCAGGTATACAACCCCTCCCCCCCTCCACCGCTTTTCCCCCATACCAAAAGTAATCAGCTAACCCAATACTTTTTTCATCAAAAAAACAGAGAAGACGCCGAATTCCTCACCCGCCACAAAGCCCTTTCCCCGTCCCGCATCCGCGCCATCGAAACCGGAGGTTGCCCTCACGCCGCCGTCCGCGAAGACATCAGCGCCAACCTCCTAGCCCTGCAAACCCTGCACAGACAATTCCAAACCGACCTCCTTCTCATCGAATCCGGCGGCGACAACCTCGCTGCCAACTACAGTCGCGAGCTGGCTGATTTCATCATCTACGTGATTGATGTCGCTGGTGGTGATAAGGTGCCCCGCAAGGGTGGACCCGGTATCACGGGCTCGGATCTGCTGGTCGTGAACAAGATCGACCTTGCTGAGGCAGTGGGTGCTGATTTGGCGGTCATGGAGAGGGATGCGGCGAAGATGCGCGAGGGTGGACCGACGGTCTTTGCGGTCGTGAAGAGTGGTACGAGAGTGCAGGATATTGTCAATCTTATTTTGAGTGCTTGGAAGGCGAGCGGTGCTTATGAGCATAGCCTGGCGAGGTGGAAGGCTGGTGCGAAGAGGGGGTCCGGGAGTGTGGATGATGCGTGATTTAAATTAGTTTCCATATATAAAAAAAAATCATTTATTCATTTCTGTTTGTTTCTATTGTGGTGGTGGTAATTCTCTATCATGAAACTTTTGATTGATATACAGTCCCAACAAGTCCGGTTTTGTATCTCACCCCAACAAACGCCCTTATAATGCAGACAAACAGACGACACCAGTTGCTCGAAAGAAGGATCGTGACACAGACGACAACAAATAGGGAGAGAGAGAAGGAACCAGAGAAATCCTCTCACGCGATGGTTAGATAGTTAAAGCAGGGTATCTGAAAGTCGTCCTCCAGCAGCCGCGGCAGAACGACAAGAAGAATACTAAACACAAGTGCAGTCATCCCCGACAGAGACGAAAGAAGAAGAAGAAGAAGATCCCTAAAATCAAATCTCCTTCTTGGCGAACCTCGCCAGCGCGGGACCCAGATTCTCCCTCTCGGAGCGCAACTTCTCCTTGTGCCGAGCAGCATGCTCCTTGCGCAACATCTCGGCCTTGACGCGCTTGTCGTCGATGACATTGCGCCGACCCTTCTTGCGCAGATACTTGCGCAGTGCACTGTTGCGACCCCGACCACGGTTCTTGAGCTTCTCCATAGGGTCTTCGGGTCTGCGATCGAGATCGCGCTCCTCGCGGTTCTTCTTGTCGCTGATGGTGTTGAGCTTTCCGACAAAGTTGGGGTCCAGCGAGATCATCTCCGGTTGCAGCTTGTTCAGGAGTCCGCGTACTTCGGCTTCCTGGCGCTGCTTGGTGTTCTCGTACGGGTTGGCCTCCAGGGCGTCGAAGTTGGGTTCACCCGCGCCGGGGACGATGATGCTGGCGAAGCCTTGGTCGTGGCCCACGCCGAGAACATCTTCGAAGGGGCACCAGCGCATGTTTTCGATGCGTTGGCCGTCACCGCCCCAGGCCATGTAGGGACTCTGTACCTTGCCTTGGTCTGCGGCGGCGGCGTCGAAGAGACCCCGCCATACGCTGACTTGCGTGCCCCAGCCTACGGCTGTTAGGTTCCGGTCGCTGATGGACACGGATGCGCCGGGTTGGTAGCATGAGTAGCTGTGTACTTCGCGGAACATGCGGATGTCCCAAACGTTCATCTTTTGGTCTTGGCCGGTCGATACCATGTATCGGCCTTGGCGATCGATGGCCATCGAGCGGACGGGGCCGCGGTGGACAAGGGCCTTCACGAGCGCGGTTTGAGAGTTGGGAGACCAGAGAGTCACGGTACCGTTTTGGTGGCCGACGTGTAGGATGGCGTTCCATGGGTTCTGGGCGAGGGAGGTGGGTGCACCGAGGCGGGTAGGCAGTTCGGCGACCATTTGGCCCGTCGAGGTGTCGGTGTATTTGAGGTAGCCGCTCATTTGCTAGTGAATGATTAGTTAGGACTCTGTAGTTGTAAATTGGGGGGCAGGTGCACTCACAGCGCTCGCAAGGAGGAAGTGGTAGGGCAGGAATTCAAGGAAAAGAGGCTCGAGATGCTTGTTGAGACAGTGCAGTTCCACACCGGCGTGGTCGTAGATATAGACGGATCTCTTCTGCGCCACGGCAAAGAACTGATTATTGTGCAGCCACCGAGCATCGCGCACAGTCTCGTTCAACTGCAACTCGCATCCCAGCTTTCCATTCCGCCAGTCCATCGTTGCCACATGCCCTTTGCGCCCGGCCAACAGCAATTCGCGACCGTTCCTTGTGTAGTCCATGCGGTAGGGTCCCATGTCCGTCAACTTGAGCTCAAATCCCTTCTTGGCCGTTTCGATACCGACGCTCTCGCGAATCTCATCCTGTCGAACTTTGTACGTCCGTTCCAGCTCTGCCTCCGGCTCGAGGAATCCGGCATCGTGCTCGAGCAGGATTTCCGCATCCTTGGCCTTCAGGGCTGCTTCCTTGTACTTGTCTTCCACGGCTTTGAGGTTGCTGCGCAGTTTCTTGTCGCGAACGCTGTGGGTGTGGATGGATTTACCCCGGCCGTAGGTCTTTTGCGCTTCCATCATTCTTTTGCTTTCCTTGCGCTTGTTGTCGGCCGGCGCAACGGCCGTCGTTGCTGGTCCCGCCATGGGCGTGGGCTGTCGAGGAGTTGAGTAAGATGAGAGGGGGATAGAAATAAGTCCAATAAGCGACTTGGATCAAGTCGAGAAACAATACAAATGTCGTACAGTCAATAAAAGTTAAAGCAGCAGACGGAGGCTCATCGGCAGCTTTTTCTGCGGGTCAAAAGATGAAAATCCGTGCCGAGCGGCTTTGCTTTCCTCGCTTGTTCCTCCACCGCCTAATTTTTTCCTCTCCAACCGCCGCCGGAGTATCAGGTCCAGATCCCTCTAGAGGCCACTTTTTTACTATTTGTGATCTCTGGTATTTAGGTGATTTGCCTTATTCCGGCTCTTCTATATATTCACGCTGGCCTCTCTTCCGTACCGATTCAAAGGGTCCAGTGGTGCCAACATGGCGCCCACCCAGACGGTGCAGCATCACCACCGATCCACAACCAAATCCGCCAATAAACCATACAAGTCTCGCCATGCCTCCAAGAGTGCGCTGAAGGATAAGGCCAAGGGTATGTGCACCAGAGAATATTACACTGTGTCTGTTATCTTGAAATAGCATCATAAACTGACATACATGCAGGCAAGGTTGAAAGACAAGAGCGGGGCACCCGCAAGACCCCTCACCAGCAGCTCAAATCCAAACTCGATCGCCGGAACCAGGCTCGCCAGAAGCAGCAATTGAAGCATCAGGAGAAGGCTCAGTCTGTCAGCATTTTCTCAGGTCAGAACGGTGCCCCCCGCCATGTGGCCGTTGTGCCGCTTTCCGTTGATATCGATGTGGCTGCCATCATCCGGGCCTTGAACGAGAGTGTCGATGTTTCCGCGGAGATTTCCCCAGACTCTGCCACCCGGGTTCGTGTCGATCGCTTCCGCCAGAGCCTGCAGTACATTCCGGCGAAATATGACTTGATGAACGCTTTGGATGTGTGCCGGATGGCCGATTTTGTGGTCCTGGCCCTCTCCGCCCAGGTCGAAGTGGAGGAACAAGGAGAGCTGTTGCTGCGGTCCATTGAGGGTCAGGGTATCTCGAACGTTATTGCCATGGTTCAGGTAGGTTCAGGTTTCCTGTACATGGGGTTGAAACCTTTTCTTACTGACTGGAACTTGCGTAGGGTCTTGACCAAATCAACCCGGCCAAGAAGCGCCCGCAGGTGGCAGCTTCTCTCAAGTCTTTTGCGAACCACTTTTTCCCGTCCGTTGAAAAGGTCCTCTCCGTGGACTCTCGCCAGGAGTGCTCCAACGCCATCCGTTCCCTCTGCACAGCTACACCCAAGGGTATCCGCTGGCGTGACGAGCGCAGCTGGATGTTCATCGAAAACGTTGAGTGGCCGGAGACCAATGCCGAGGAGGTCGACGATGTTGTCGTTACTGGTGTTGTCCGCGGTAAAGGCCTGAAGGCGGACCGTCTGGTTCACATCCCTGGATGGGGTGACTTCCAGATTGGTTCGATCACAGCAGCACCACTTGCTGCCGCCCGCGGGAAGCGTGATGATGCTATGAATGTCGATGAGACCGAGGCTCCGCAGCTGTTGGATGGACCCTCTGCAGATTGCGATGATTTGGCCACTGTGGCACCAGAGGAGATTGAGATGGAGGACGACGACTTCCCTGTTGAGGAAGAGCGCAAGGGTGTCCTCCTGGACGACCACCACTACTTCTCCGATGACGAATCTCACATCCCTCCGAAGCCCAAGAGGCTACCAAAGGGTACCTCGGAGTACCAATCCGCTTGGTTCTTGGACGATGTGTCCGACTCCGGCTCTGACCTTGAAGACGAGGAGGATGTTGAAGAGATGGAGATGGACACCGCGGGAGCGCCCGAAGACGGTGTCTTCCCCGATAACAGGGATGCCATGACGGAGGCTGGCCCATCGGAGTATCCCCAGTCAGAGATGTTCGTCGACCCGTCACCAGAAGACGAGGCCAAAGACTTGGAGGAATACCGTGCGAGCCGCAGAAAGGAAGCCAATGAAGATCTGGAGTTCCCTGACGAAATCGAGCTTCACCCGAACGTTCTCGCTCGGGAGCGTCTGGCCCGCTTCAGAGGTCTGAAGAGCTTCAAGACCAGCCCCTGGGAGACGTCAGAAGACCGTGCCTACGAGCCGGAAGACTGGCGCCGCCTGCTCCAATTCGCGGACTACAAGGGATCCAGGAACAAGTTCCTCCGCGAGGCTCTCGTCGGAGGTGTCACCCCTGGTGTGCGCGTTGATGTGCACCTCAAGGCCGTGCCAGCAACCCTCCGCAGCCGGCCTCAGCCCACATCTCTCTTCTCTCTACTCCGTCATGAGCACAAGCACACCGTTGTCAACATCAACATGCACTTGAACTCCAGCGTCGAGGAGCCCCTGAAGTCGAAGGAGCAGCTCGTCGTCCAGTGCGGTCCTCGCCGTCTGGTCGTCAACCCCATCTTCTCCGCCGGCGACAACACCCCCAACAACGTGCACAAGTTCGACCGCTTCCTCCACCCAGGCCGCAGCGCCGTCGCCTCCTGGATTGGTCCTTTGACCTGGGGCGCCGTGCCTGTCCTCGTCTTCAAGAACAAGTCCAACCAGGACCCCGAGATTATGGACTCCGCCGAGGACGACTCCCTCAACAACTTCGACAACCTCGAACTCATCGGAAACGGCACCATCGTGGCCCCCGACCAGTCCCGCGTCGTTGCCAAGCGCGCCATCCTCACCGGTCACCCATACAAGATCCACAAGCGCGTCGTCACCGTCCGTTACATGTTCTTCAACGCCGAGGACATCCAGTGGTTCAAGGCCCTCCAGCTCTGGACCAGACGCGGCCGCAGCGGTTATATCAAGGAATCCCTCGGTACGCACGGTTATTTCAAGGCTACCTTCGACGCCAAGATCAACCCCCAGGACTCTATCGGTATCAGTCTGTACAAGCGCGTCTTCCCTCGCAAGGCTCGTGCTCTGGAGGATGTGGTCTATTAAAAATGATGTTGGAGATCGTGTTGTGTCGTTGTTTGTTCGCTTGCTTTGGGAAGCCTTTTTGGGTTTAGGGCACATGATATGGCATGGCATGACATGCAGGAACGATATAGAGATATTACTTACTTACATACATTACATACTTCACCTACTTACTCATGATACCACAAAAGTTCGCTTCGGCATGAATTGATGAACTGTTACTGATTATGAATATCATTTGTTGATGTGGTTCGATAGATAGATAAATACAGTTGGCGTGAATTTTAGTATTTAGTTTGATTTGACCCGAGTGGTGCAACTTGTCTCGTCTATTTAGTTTATTCCTGGAATTAACTGAAGCACACTATTCAGTATAATAGAAGGGTAATCTACGGTATTAATAGATAGTGTCGAGGTGGCAATTTTGTTCATTCACGAATATCGATATCTGTCAATAAGGCAGGCCACGCATCTATGTGTGTAACCTGAATGTGAACAATGAAATATGGTAGGGCGGTTTAATAAGCAAAACAAGACGGAACAGGAAAAGGACAGGCAAGGGCACCATGTATATTTGCACGAAAGACAGACCTCAAGCAATTATACGATGGCACAGCATCCATCTACCATGGGACCAGCCAACGGGGTAAGGGTAGGGAACATATAACGTCTGCCTAGTTAACTAATCCACCAACAACAAGCGAATGGATGAACATATCGAAGTGAACCAGAAAAACGATGATATTGTTGCTGGGAATAGAATAGAAAAGAATAAGTCTAAGAGAAATCCTCGCCCTGCTCCTCGATACTGTTCTTGATCCGCAACAGAAGAGTTGTCTTCCACTTGTCCAACTTGCTGAGCTGGTCGAATTGGAACAGCTTGTCGGCGAATGCTTCCTGGTCGCCGGCTTCGATGGTCTGGATCAGGTCGACGAGGAGCTGGTGCTCTCTTGTCGAGGCGAAGGTGGTGTCGATGTCGCGGTAGTTTTCGAGGGCGCGGTTGGCGGCCACCAGGTCCTGTGTGGAATCAGTACTGTGTAAATGGTTTGGGCAGATGAGGACAGCCGTACATTCGTCGCCAAGTGGCAGATGCCAGCCTTGAGGAAGTAGTCCTTAACGGACCATTTCATCAGGTTGTTATTGATTGATGAGCGGCCGATCCGCTCGTAGTGCTCAATAGCCTTGTAGTAGTCGCCTTCGAGAGCGGCCAGGTCCGCTGCCTTAAGGTAGTGCTTGTTGGCAAGTCTGGAGAACAACACATCAAGTTAGATTTGTATATGAAAACGCCGAGGATAGACGTACGCTTCAGCATTGTCACCGTCGAACCACTCCGCCGCTTTCTCGTAGGCTTCCAGCGCCTTCTTCGTATCTCCCAGTTCCACCTCATAGACCTCGGCCAGATGTTGCTGTTGCGTGGCCGCGCGACGGAGGTTACCCTTTAGCACGTAGTGTTGGATGGCACTGGAGAGCACGCGAGCGGCGTCCTCGGGGTCGGATTTGCGGTAGACCTTGAACGCTTCAGTCAGGGTGTTTGCTGCATCGTCGGGCTCGTTAAGGTTCTGGGTCTGAATGGAGGCAGCCTTTTCGAAGGCAAGACCAGCTTCCTTGTCTGTGTGTTTGGCAACGAGTTAGAGCTCGTTGATCCGAGACAGGGGGGAGATCATTGGCTTACTCTGCTTCTGCACTCGGAAGGCGTTCGCAGCTTGTGTGTAGAGATCAGCCGCATTCTCGTACTTCTCTGTCCTTCCACCGAAGAAGCTGAAGCCACCAGATGCGCTGCTAAGCGCTTTGTCGGCCTAATGTACGTCATAGGGGTTAGCGATCGTCGAATTCCAAGCATAGCGATGATGGACAGCGGGGTTCGGGGGGATTACTCGTTGGAGCAGAACTCTGGGATCTTGGGCCATTTTGTGAAGAGATTGTCGGCCCGAGCAGGTGAAGAGGAGAGTGATGCTAGAGGTCAGGTTGCGGGCAAAGAGAAGTGGGGATGATTGTCTAGAAGATGAGGAGAAGCAGTGCGAGGATGGATCTACTTTACTGGGCAGCCTCGCGGAATGGCGAGCTCCCCGCCGCTCCGTCAACGTAGGCGGTGGCCACTTTCCGCCCGGTCCATTGGACGTGCTTCTTTTCTTGCTTCTCACTTGGTATTTCGATTCCCATTAGGATCTTTGACTGTCGCAAAAGGAATCAATTGCTTCAATTGATTGTTCCCTTTATCGTTTATTTTATCAAGTATTTGATTTTATACCTCTACAATTCCCTCAACCATGTTCCTCCGTGCAACTCTTCCCCGACTGTCTGGGTTGATCGGTCGTCAACCTCTGGGTTGCAGCACCGCCAGGCGCATGTACTCTGCCTCCCAGTCAGGCGACGCAGATATTGATGCCATGCTTGCGAAGCCTACGTGGTCTGTTCGCTCGTTGCTACCGGAAGAGTCTACCAAACAATCTGCTCCATCAGTGACCCCGACGCAACTCCGCCATCTGCTTCGTCTCTCGGCTCTCCCGCAACCCGCGAACGAGGAAGAAGAGAAGAAGATGCTTGAAACGCTCGAATCCCAAATTCACTTTGTCAAGCAGGTCCAGCGCATCGATGCCACTGGCGTGGAACCCCTGCAGAGTATCCGGGACGAAAGTCCAGAAGCGGTGCAGGAGAATACAATCGGACTGGAACAGCTTAAGGAGGCCTTATCCAAGGAGAGAGTGGTTGGTCGAAACAAAAGAATCCAACGAGTGGAGAGTCCGAGGAACGAGCGGCCCGATGGGGATACCTGGGATGGAAACGCGCTTGCCTATGCATCCAGGACCAAGGGGAAATTCTTCATTGTCGAGACGGGCATCTCAGCATAAGCTAAGCTGCCCATTAACTGCGACACAAGTTAAGTGAAGTTGGGTTCAGCCTGTCTGACAGGTAACCACAATAATCGACGAACCCAGTTGTACGCCTGACGATGGTCTGGGCGCTGAGTCATCCATGATCTCATTGCCAATGCTGAAACCGACAACCTCCTTATTCCCTGTGCAACTTGTGAGGTCCCTCCACGAACCATCTGTAGCTGAGGCGAAAGGCTAGACAAAATAACCCATTCTGGAACGTGACTTTGGCGCCATTTGCACATATGTGGAAGTCATTCAAGGAAAAGCATGCTAGCAAGTTCGGATCCGGGCCTTCGCCCTCGCCCGCTCCGCCGAAGAGCGACCGCGACCAAGACTTGACTACCATCTTGGATCGCCCCCAGCGAGCCGACCTGACAGTTCTTGTCGCGGAAATCACCCAACATATGCGAGATGCCATCGTCCGGAACTTTCACGGTCCTATTCAAAAAGAGAATGACACCTCACGTGACCAATCTACACATGAACATCACAAGGACACTGATCCCTTGTCTGCTCAGTCGGACGCGCAGAGAGAGGAAACCACAGCTGTGACTACTCAATCGGAATACAAGCTCACCGCGCAAGATCTAAAATCAGAGGCCAAGTCCCTGTCTAGCTTTGATGACTGGAGAGACTCGGTCCTATTGAGAATTGGTGAAGTTGTGAACCGAGATGAGGAATCTGAAGAAGACCCCAGTGAATCAGACTCACCTCAACAATTACGTGAACCGGATATAGATGAGGACCAAGGTTCTCTGGAGAAGCTCTGTGAAGTGTACCGACCTGTGGAGACTCCTCTTACGCAGCTACCCAAGGCTAAAAGGCTACTGATTCTCCATTCGCTACTGCTCTTAATGCTTAGTCTTGAGCACTACAATGCTCGCTCGCGAGTTCTAATGCTGTATGTAGCGTCAAGTCTGAATCTCGATGTCACCATCCTTAATGGTGACGAGAGCAAGGTCGCACGTGGATTGCTTGACACTGCTCTTCAACTCGCGAACGCGGAGGAAGGCCAAGAAAAGAAACGTGATTCCTCCAGGAAATGGAAGGTTGGGATAGCTTCTGTTGCAGGAGCTGCACTGATCGGCATTACTGGCGGACTTGCCGCACCACTTGTTGCAGCTGGCCTTGGAACAGTCTTGGGAGGCCTTGGTCTCGGTGCTACCGCTGCTGCAGGATATCTAGGTGCCCTCGCAGGTAGTGGAGTGATCGTGGGTGGTCTCTTTGGCGCCTACGGAGGTCGAATGACGGGACGCATGGTCGACAAGTATGCCCGTGAGGTGGACGATTTTGCTTTCCTGCCTATTCGGGGCTCCCGACAGAGGTCTGAAGATGAGAGGGAAGCTGCCCAGAATGATCACATGCTCCGCGTCACGATCGGCATTACCGGCTGGGTTACTGAAGAAGACAATTTCGTTGTTCCCTGGCGAGTCATTGGAGCCGATTCCGAGGTATTCGGTCTGCGCTGGGAAACAGAGCCTTTGATGAAGCTTGGAAATGCTATGAATCTATTGGTCACGAGCGCTGCCTGGGCGGCAGGTGGGCAGGTGCTTTCTCGGACCATCTTCGCACAGATCATGAGCGCCGTAATGCTGCCTCTTGGTCTTCTCAAGGTTGCCCGTGTGGCTGATAACCCGTTTAGCATTGCCAAAGCCCGAGCAGACAAAGCGGGTGAGGTCCTGGCGGATGCGCTGATTAGCAAGGTTCAGGGTGAGCGGGCCGTCACATTGATAGGCTACTCGATGGGCTCTCGCGTCATCTTCTCCTGCCTGCAAAGCCTGGCGAAGCGAGGTGCATATGATCTGGTGGAATCGGCAATTCTGATGGGCTCACCCACTCCCTCCAATGCACCGCACTGGCGTCGTCTGCGAAGCGTTGTTAGCGGTCGGCTGATCAACGTGTACTCGGAGAACGACGCCGTTCTCGCTCTTCTCTACCGAACCAGCAGTCTGCAACTCGGTGTGGCAGGTCTACAGTCTGTTCAGGATGTGCCCGGCGTTGAGAATCTGGACGTCAGCGAGACCGTTAGCGGCCATTTGCGCTACCAATTTCTCATCGGGCGCATTTTAGGACTTGTCGGCCTGCAAAGTGTAGATGCCGAGGAGGTGGCTCGTGAAGAGGCCGCATTGGCCGTGAAGGACAAAAAGCAGGAGCAGGAACGGATCCAAAACGAGCGTCGTGCTGGGGTTAAGGGTGACGAGTCGGCACAGCGAGTGTTGGACAACGGCAATGGAACCGAAGAGGAAGCAATTCATGCCGAAGTTGAACAGGAGACACAGGATCGACTTTTTCGCATGGAGGTGTCTGAAGGAAGCGAAGGCCAACCAGCCCGATCTGAGTTTAAGATCAAGAGACGCCCACTTCCATCAGAGCAGAGTTAGATGTTTATGCCTTGATGATTCAATATTAGTGTCATTTTATTGCAACGTACTCTCCTATCAAGATGGCAACCATCGAATAGGATTTCAACCCGCCACCGCAGAAAGTTGGCGCAATTCGCATAACCACTGTCTTGATGATCGCGATCGATAACGGCGAAACCATGCCGACCGTTGCGACACGCGGATCAATAGCCATATGCTTACTTCTAGCCTGGCTGCAAGACATGCATAAGCGCAACGGTCACTGCAGAAGACTTTCGTAAATATAAGCGACGATCTCAACGTCGACTAGTAGATATTCTCTCTATAGCTGAAGCCAATCGTCACCCAAGGTTTACCTTCCCGGTTAGCCCTGTCACACATTTTCTCTCTTGACAACAACCCCTGACCGTATTCCCTCTCTGCTCCTATATACGTAGTAGGAGGTAGGTAGTACGATAACAAAAGGATAAGCGCAATAATTGAGACCATCATCAACTACATGGCGCTCGCTGAATTTCTTTCAACTCCGCAGATCAATTAAATAACAACAGGGATGTGTGTACATAACTAGCGCGAATCCTCCCAACGCTTTCAATAGTTGCAGCCACCAACGAATGAATGATATTTAGTTTTCCAATAATGCAACTAGCTTCGATGTTTTCGCTAGCAAGCCAAAATTAAGCTATTCATTGCCGTTATTTGGATCGCTTCTTTCTCATTTGCTAGGATCGACTCTAGCAGTAGCATGATACAGAATTAGCATGATCGGATTAGACTACTATAGAGCAGACTAGATATACTCGAATTCCGTCACCCTCCAACTGCCTACTTGGTATCCATTATTATGTATGTAAAGATATAACCGACACAAGACATTCCAGCAATCAATTTCGATGGTGTGGAAATGGACTACCTCTCATATTCTAGGTCATAAAGTATTCTTATACCTATTGAATATTTCGTAAATCTGGTGTTTTTATTTAAACATTGACGACTAAACAATTAGTACTTTTGTCTCAACGAATAGTCTAATAACTTAAGACACCCCCGATCTTCTACTCCAACGGCGCAAGACAACTAATATAATAACAGTGGATTCGTCCGAGACAACTTGTCAAAAGTACTACGTACTAGATAATTCATGTCATATGGAGGGCGGGGAGAGCGAGCGGGTAAGGAAGTACTAGTAGTCCAAAGTGGAGTTGGGGTCCTCACGTCGGAGGAACTTGGTTGTCTCACATTGATGAGGATTGAATGTGACATTAATAATGATTTATTCTGACGTTTTCAATATGCAGAACCGTTGGTGCCTATTTTAAGGAGAAGACGTGATTCTACTGTGTTGTAATTTATTTTTGTCTTTGGTTGATGGATCGTTTTTTTATTGATGGCATTGGGTTGTTGCATACTACTGATTGTGTTATTCTAATTGCTTCGTAGCCGGTTTTATAGTAGTCCATAGTGACATAATCGGCAGAAAGTGGATGGAGATGGGATGCTATGCGACAATCAGTGAAATCGAAGCTTGGAGCAGACAAGATGGATCATGGTGTATCTACATGGCGTGTGGTGTTTTGGATTATGTCGTTGTTTGGTACATGTTTCTTGGTATACTCGGGTCATGACTCGGTTCAGGACCTTGGGAGGGGTGTGTCAATGAGCTTGGTACTTTTGCCCAGAAAGGGTGCAAAGCTTGGTTGGACGTTGCTTTGTTAGAAGTTTTTGTTCTTAAGGTGTATATGGAAATAATTGCTTGCGTGTCAAATCTGTAACACGGCTGAGGGTTTAAGAGAGCGTGTTATAGCTAGTAAAGTGTTAGTTGAAGGAAAATGATTTGCCGCGTCCGTAATGTCCCAAGACGCATTCAATATATATGTTATATGTAGTATTACTAGTCCACGGGCTGCCAATGGTAATGAATATTCATTCATGCTGGCTTATCAGAAACCATGCTGCACGCTGCTACAACATCTGGTTACAAAAGTACTACGTCAGGGCTGAAATATAGCTAATATAGCAACGCAAGTGATCGACAACACAATAAGTACGGCGCCTTTCCCCAATGGCAAGAGTAGAGGTTGATAACTTAGTAGGATGTCTTATAGTTTCCTGCACCTACAACCATAGACATCCGAAATTCTAAGTAGCCAACATTTAGCATGGAACGCTTAGGTTGCATCCGGGCTGTCTACTAATAGTAAGTGCTTACTATAGTGTTCACACTTTACTTTCTTAAAGTATGTGAAATCACAGTAACTATTATCTACATTCTGAGCTCAACAGACTGGCTTCCCTTTTACTTAACCAACACTACTCATACGATCTCAATGACACACACTATCTTTCTCTCTACTTGACTAAATGCCAACCAATTATAAAGAGCAAGAGCAAGAACAAGAACAAGAACCATTCCTAATACAACAAAATCACCAGTTCCCGACTACCCCCTTAGTACCCGCCCTCCAAATCCCCGATATCCCGAAGCTACACTACACTACACTACTTTAGTACCCTCTAATCTAGCTTCTTCTAGTCTCTCTCTCTGAAAATCAGGAGCAATTAAGTAGATTAGCCTTGGCATCCATCCCGTCGGGGAGAAGGAAAGCCCAAGGGCGGAAAGGAAGACGGAATTCCCGGCGACCTCGGGATGATCTTCTGACGTTCTTTCATCAATTCATATGGAATCAATACCGTCGGAGACTAGTCTACACTCTACTAAGTAAGTTGCAGTAGGCTAGTTACTTGGTGGAGATGGCTGCATACTAAGGAATGCTCGGTTGTGGTGTGGCTTGCGTTAGGTAGATTGTTATGGGGAATGGGTTATATTGACCGGTGGAGAATTGGTTTTGGGGGCGTAGAAGGATTAAGCGCGTGGCGGAAATGGCGGAAGGGAGGGAAGGATAAAAGTCGCTTAATATTGCTGTTGCGGTGTTAGTTGTGAGGATTTCTCGTTTATTTACTGTGTTTTTGGATGTTGTTGATAAGTAGAAAAAAATGGGAGTTGTTCGTAAGTATATGGATTGTGGTGTGGTGGGAAAGAGAAGTGTTGAATTGGTGTGGTTTCTCAAACAAGTGGCGAACAAACTAATTGTACTATACTACGTAATAGTATGCATGCATACTACTTTAGGCAGGCTGTTATAGTCAATTACTAGTCTCTTCAAACTGTGCAGAAAAAGCAACTCTCTTTTCCCTCCTGCATGGAAATATTCTAGCCAAACCCAAATACAAAGTAAATAAAATCTCTCCAACAATAAAGTTCGAACATCATCCCTTGTCTCCGGGTCCTCACTCAAGGTCTGACTGCCTCTCTGGCTCACTATCTATAACAAATCTCGGTCGGATAAAGGAGCAGCAAACCTAACCACCCAAAACACCTTAGACTAACTGTACCACTGGTACAACGCGGCTTGTTCCTCCTACCCTACCAAAGTTCCAACTGCCGAGAGGAACAAGCAAAATGTCTGGACCTCCATCAACCATTTCCAGTATGGCGGAACAATCCGAAAGATCCAAAGTAGGAGCCCTTAAACGAATGAAACAAACCGGAAAAGAAACCATCCAGTAAAAAACTGCGTGAAGCAAAGCGACTAATACCGAAACAGAAATTGCTCCATTGGGTAAGTCGGGAAAAGCGGACCTGGGGCCGAACATAGGCTTTCACGGGTTGGTGACTCGCACGAGAAGAAGGGGGAAAAGACAAATCAGCGCTTCGTGTGCTTTGGAAGCTAAGAAACCTTAGCTACGCGATCCGATGCTGTGGGGACGTCTTTCCCCCAAACCGGCTCGCCCAAGCTTCGATCCAAGTGGGCATGGTAAGCGCTGATCGTGATGCTGGAGGCGCGGTGGCAGCGCTGATTGGTTGGAGGGCGGGCTTCACGGACGCTTCGTATTGTGTGGTGGTTCTGGTGGATGCTACGCGTATCACGCCGTCGGATTCAGGCAGAATGGCTGAAATTGAAGGTAATTATTCGTCGGACTAGTTCATGTCAATCCCTTAGGGGAGTGAGGATTTTCGTCAAGAGGAAATTAGTGATTATCTTCAATTATTAGTAGTAGTAGTAGTATCATGTATATACTTGAAAATAGATATCATGGGGTCTCTCGTGACAGGGATCGTTGCATAGTGTAGGAAAAATAAAAGGAAATGGAAGGAGAAAGAAAGGTATCAAAATGAATGTAAAGTGGTAATGAAATCGCACAGCCATCCGCCCAACCTGCTGAAGCTCCACCACCCACAATCACCCGCTGTGGCGACCTCCCTTCTGGAAGTCTTCCGGTTCCGCTGGCTCGTGCGAAATCTCGATCGTCGTCTCCTGGTACACTCCGTGGCCCAACTCGGCCAGCTCCATGTCCGTCTTGCGCACAATGTCTTCTGTAGATGAATCGCGGTCGTCTCTGACCGTGTCGTTGATGCTCTGCATCCCCATGCCCCGCCGGAATCGGGATCCCATCCGTACTTTCTTGCCATCTCGGCCCGTGGTGATGTGTGTCTGATATGCGTTCGATTCCGTGTAGTTGTACATCCGATCCGTAGTACTGAGTTCGGTTTCGAGCAACAGGTGTCGGCGAGTGAGCGTGTACACAAGCACATCAACGAAACCCGACAACGCCATCAGCGAACCGGCCACGGCAAAGTACGCTCGACTGGGAACGATATGTCGGGCCGTTGACATACGTCCGGCGGCTAGCGGCAGGGAAAGCAAAAGATAGACAAGCGGGTAGATAACCATGTAGATGACAACTCGGTTCAATCGCTTCAGGTTCTCCTGGTGGTTTTGTCGAAGCGTGGCGGCTTGCTTCATTCGGCGTCGCAAGTAGAAAAACATGACTCCGTAAAGAACGACCGTGCCGAATTCTGCCAGGAAAATCCAGAGATAATGCACCCAAAGACGTTCTGTTTCATGGTCGGGACCGATCCAGCACTGCAAGACAGGGTAAATTAGTGACTTCCTCCATCTGTATCACATCCTTGCGGTCGCTTACCCAGCCAGCTTCAGAAATCACAAAGGTCTCGGAGCCAAACATTCCAACGGGGATCAATCCCAGGATGATGATAAATATCCATAGCCCAACAACACAAGCCACAAATATTGGGTACGGTAATTGTCGACCTCGTAGCACAACGGCACATGTGTGAAAGGCAATCGCCAGAACGAACAAACCACTTCCGGGATCGCCCGTTTGAATCCACCATCCTTGAAGAACGCATGGTGCACTGGGATAGTAGACGTGACCTTTTGTTATCCAGTGGAGACATATCAAGAAAGCTGTTGCTTGTTGCAGATCGACCAACAGGAGGTTGTAAATGAGAACGACATATTGGTTCTCCGCCAAAGGCCGTTTGTAATATTTGCGCCAGAAAATGAAACGGTAGGTAAGGAATGACAACAGGCCAAGGGCCGAAATGAACGAAATGAGTGCAATCACTCCCATGGCAATGAACCCTGCTCGGTCGCTACCCTCAACTACCTCGGTGTTTGAGCGACTAGCGAGGTGCGTGTGGCCAGCACCATCGCTGCCTAGCAGCCGTGACAATCGTAGTAGAGCGAGCATTGTTCATCACCCTGAACTGTAGTTTCGAGGGGAAGAATGTCCAAGGGTCCAAGCGAGGCTCGGAAACGAGTGACAGGCAGCGTGCGTCTTATATCCTACCATATAGAAGTAGAGATTGGAGTATGTTTTGCGGACCAGAAAATGAGTTTCTATGGATCGAGAAGTCTGGGCAAGGACTCGGCCCCATAAAGGCTTTTGCAGTAATTTTTTTCTTTTCTTTTCTCTTTTACCCGTTCTTGTTTTTCATTTTTGCTGTCCCGCAAAGAGAAAAAAAAATAAGATTTGGTTAAGGGGCCACAGATCGCTAGATAATCTTCGAGGGGGTGCGAATGAGCAAGGATGGGCCATTTTAGTGAGTAGTAGCGTGTGCAGGAAAGGGACCGAAGCTCGCATAGTGAGTGTTTTAGTGGGATATAGTCCGCACGGTCTCTTTACCAGACCCACCACTGGGTCATGGTATTCTCCGCCGTGCATCCAACACTGAGTCAAGAAAGTGGTCGAACGTTCCCACCTTAGTGTGCAATTGCCGATCTCCCAATGGTCTGGGAAGGAAAGGGGTGATTGTGCTTAGATCGTTGACCTGAGAGCCTCCATGCCCTGTGGATCAATCATCGGATTCTGCTCCCCGGCGACTATGGGGTAAACACCTGAGAGTGCAATGTGGCACACACAATTGAGGATTATTGAAGATGGCCGGTGGGTGGTGTAAATGTACCTTATCCTGAGCTGAACTATTTCGGCCCGGTATAGTGCATCCGCCACTTCGGCAGTGACAGAGTCCCCTAACGTTTGCCTGAAGACGAGCTAGACTAAGGGGCGGAAGTATTCTTTTGCAGAGTCGCCTGCAGTAAACGGTGATGATCTGCATGTGTCTTATTAAGCGGTGTTGAGGGACCCCCTGGTGCCTCCTGGGCCTTTTTGGTGTCGCGCAGACCAGGGGAGTGGTAGATGATCTCCGGACTACGATCTTAAATCAGACGGAAAGGACCTTCCGATGCGGTGGCCTTCACCGAGGGCTGTTAGAAATCGAACGCAGCCCTGATTGGTCACTACAGAACCAAAGAATATCGGATCAACAGTGCGTCGACTCGAGGGGAGGGGCTGAAATAGCACACGGTAGAGTTAGCGTGACGGCGCGTCGAAAGAAAGTTATCGAGATCCAGCAAGCTGGGACCAATAAACCCAGCGGGTAAGACCTGGGATACCAGTGCCTTCCTTTACAGGCAATGATGTTGTGCTTTGTGGAATCTCCAATTGCATATAGACCGTAGAGATACAACGAAGTTGTGCGAGTGTGGAAGATGGGAAAGCTGGTATAGGACTTGAGGCAAGGCAAATGAAGAGGAGTTGAACACTGACTCCTTCTGGCAGTCACCTGAGGGCAGCCGAGCCTCACCACCATTCAGCTTCTAATAATTTCCAACCTCGCTCGCACATTGTTGCTGGTAATAGCAACAATCACAAGCTTACAAATATTCCATCATCTCCACCTCCCGCTCTTCGGTACCAATTGTTCAGCTTGGCTCCATAGTTGCAATATTACCCTCCAGAGAATCCCGCGCAGCTAGAAGTTTATCACGAATATGATCTTCGGAGCATGGACACAAGTTGAGCTGTTCCTGGCTATATCAGTATCCCCACGACTTTTCATTCAAGAACGGGTAAGAAAAAGAAATAACCTGCAGCTGTACCCCGTTGTTGGGTGAAGATCTTCAGGAGAGAACGAGCATTGGGTAAGTGTGACCGAAAGCTTATTCTCGTCGATTCACGTTGCTAAGATGCTGATCCCATAGATTTGATATGACTTAGTGATTTGAACCAAGGACAGCAGCGGGGTGTAGCTCGAATGGGCACGCTAATCTGATGAGCTCATCCAAAGTCTTTCGGTGGTTCTGGAATGGCCGTGCAGCAAAGGCTGATGGAAGGTCCTATCCGGCCAACTCCTAGCACAAAATTAGAACCATGGTTCGAGCAGTAATGGTACCTCTCACCACGGTACTTATCCGGTGGTTGAGCATCTATAAACTACTTCAATTGACCTTCCATCTATGGCATCGCAGCTACTCGGGCCTGGCACCTACACGCAAACAATGAGGGACTGTAAGCTATAGTCGCCAAAGATCTACATTACTCACTCGTGATCTGCTGTTGACTTGATTCAACTTGGGCAAGTCGATGGCTTTTTTTTTGACCTTTCGGTAATACGGATGAGCCGCCCAATTGCTGTCTCAGCTTGTGGAAGCATCGGAAAGAAGAAATTCAACAGTCGCGGCCGAGACCTCGTCGTATCGGCTAAGCGGTTTGTTAAGCATTAGCCGAGAGCGGCCTCATATGGTTTTAGTGTCATAAATTAACTACAAGTTCAGACGTTAGCCACGCACCATGTAACGTAATGTGTGTCCGTTCTTCCACTCTGAGAAAGCATTAGCCAACCTGTGTATGCATACCCGAAAGCTCACAGGCCTATGTTCCGATTTTCGGATCCGGAAGGATTGATCGACAAGAAGCAACTCTTGACTCCAGGGCTAGACAACCTTTCTGGGAGCCTCTCTGTCTTGGCATATGAATGCCCCATTTAAGGCGCGCAGTTCGTGAACCTTCTATTCATTAGTAGCTGGAGATGTCCTCATTTTCGAGTGCTGTAGTCAGCTTGGATGCTGCAGGGCTTAAAGCAACGCTCGCATATGCTGGAAGCCACATTTCACAATTTTTGAACGCACAGGATTCTGGCTTTCGCTAATGCCCGATAGGGAACTGCGGGCTTCAATATGCGTCGCTTGGCGGGCTGTTGCATGACCCGGACGTGTCCGAAGCATAGTCATGCCACTTGGGGACTATGAATAGGACCTTCGTCTATAAACGGACCATCTGCACAGGACAAGTCACCCGTCTCATTCCAGCCGGAGGTCCCGGACAGATGACAAGGCTCTAAGACTGTATGTCTCATTCAGGGTCTAGCCGTGCCCGCTCTTATTGGCCCGGACGCTTCACGCCGCGATTACTGCGCCCCCGCATGTCTCTCTCTCCGCTCGCTATCGATGCGGTGTTTGCCCGCCATTGATGGGAGGAATGTCTCACTTCGGGCTTGTGCTTCGCAGATCCATACCCCTCAATGACCTAGTATAGCAAACAGGCGTGATGTCAATGATTGTGTTTCTATTCAGAGCATCAGGCCTCCCATGTCTATACCTCAGTTATGGAGCCTTGGCCGCCTTGGGTAGGCAAGGCCTCCCGGGTATTCTCATTGCCATTTCACCGCTACTGCAGCTTCAAGTGAAGAGAAAGAGGGGAAAGAAAGAATATAAGTAGCTTGACAATCTCCTGCACGTCCTCCTCTTCAGCTCACATCAAACATCTATTCTTCACTCCTCAAGAGTAAACCACTACTACCAAACACAATCTCATCTATAGCTCACGAGTACCAGCATCACTCATCTACCACAATGAAGACCTTCTCTACCGTCACCTCTCTCCTCGCTCTCTTCTCCTCGGCTCTGGCCGCACCCGTTGACAGCGCTGAAGCCGCCGGCACCACCGTCTCTGTCTCATACGACACTGCCTACGATGTCTCTGGAGCTTCCTTGACCACCGTCTCCTGCTCGGACGGTGCCAACGGCCTGATCAATAAGGGCTACTCCAACTTCGGCTCCCTTCCGGGCTTCCCCAAGATTGGAGGCGCCCCTACCATTGCAGGCTGGAACTCTCCCAACTGCGGCAAGTGCTACGCCCTGACGTACAACGGCCAGACAGTCAACATTCTGGCCATTGATTCCGCACCTGGTGGCTTCAACATCGCTCTGGAGGCCATGAACACCCTCACCAACAACCAGGCCCAGCAGCTGGGTCGTATCGAAGCTACCTATACTGAGGTGGATGTCAGTCTTTGCGCATAAACGCCAAACATTCAGCAAATGCTTGGGGGATGAATTCGGCCATGGCAGGGAATGGTTATAGTTGGATATGATTTCGGGATTTACGATTGATACGCTTATTTGGGATACTTTCCTTTATCTTACCTATTGTTAATAGCATAATACGGAGCATCACATACGTACATACACATACATCAATATAGTGATATATGAACTTGAATACAGAGCTTTTTGAAAATGAAATGAGAGATTCTAAGGTCGTATCTACTGTACATCATTGTCTATATATAAACACACATTCATCATACAACATCACCCCAAAACCTCGAGCATCTCCTCCACCCGCCCAAACTTATTCCGAATCTTACCCTTCTCCTGCCCGCGCTCCCGTTCCGCACGATCAATTCGTTCCCAATCAGCCCACGACGTAGCCCTCAAACCCCGCTTTTCAGCTTCAGGACGGACGCCCTCCCAACCAAGTCCAGAGCTATAACCCGGCGAATTCAACAAAGACGCTTTACCATCCTGACCAGCCACATCAGCAGCAATAGCATCAGCCGTACTGAACGCATCCATCATCGTCGTAGCAATGACGCCCGTAGGCCCGCGCTTGACCCAGCCAGCGCAGTAAAGGCCTGGGAGATGCGAGATCAAAGACCCATCGGGGAGCTGTTCCTTGTCGCCGGTGTTGGATGGGGTGGTGATACGTCCGAACCCGTCGTTGGGGATCACTCCGCGGCGTTCGTCGAACTGGATACCTAGGTCTCCTAGTCCGGGTAGTGGGAGGGACTTGTAGCCGACACTGCGGAAGAAGGTGTTTGCGGGGATGTCGACCTCTGCGCGCTTGCCGCTGGATAGATACTTGGGTGTGACTTTGGCGCTGGGAAGGAATGGGTCTGAGGGGTCGAGCTCGTTGCGGGCGAATCTTACGTGGGATAGGCGGTAGGGGTGGACGGGGGACCACTGCAAACATTCGGGGGAGAGGAGGAAGTCAAGAGACCAGGATTTGGCGGAGGTTGTGGGGTCGTTGGTCGATCCTTTTGCGAGAAGTTGGATGAGTCGTTTCTGCGCTCTTGGAAGAGCGGACATGACGTCTTCCGGAGGAAAGAGATCCTTCGGGACTGGATCGAATGCTACGCCTGGTAGTTGGAGTAGTTCGCGGAGTTCTTTGATGGTGAATGCAGCCTAAGACCGGAGAGATGTAAGCATAGGATAGGTGTAGTATCTGGGTCGATAGAGCGTACCTGCATCGGTCCTCGGCGGCCGACTACTCGGACACGCTTGACTTTACTCTTTGACAGCTCCTCAATAGCATACTCGGCTATATCCGTCTTCCGCAGAGAATCCACATCCGACAACAAGATACGAGCAACATCCAGGGCCACATTTCCTTGTCCGATGATTACAGCATCTTCACCGGCAGTCAGGTCCGGGGCAAGATCACGGTGCTCAGGTAGGCCGTTGTACCAGCCAACAAATTCCCTAGCCGAGTAGACGTTGCGGATTGCCTTTTCGCCCGGAATTCCCAGCTCCTTGTCCTTCGGGGCACCGTATGCGAATAGGATGGCATCGTAGTGTGGCTTGAGAGAGCTGAGGGGAAGGGTTTCGCCGAGTTCAACATTGCCGATGAAGTTAAAGCGCGGAGATGCTGCAACTTCGGTGAATTTCTCTTCGCAGTTCTGGAACCCGAATAGTGTAAGTTTAACCGTCCTTGTCTTCTGACTCATGACATGGCAATTTTACCTTGACTTCCGGATGGTCTGGGGCAACACCGTACCGCGCAAGACCAAATGGCACTGGGAGCTTCTCGTACATATCTACCGAGGCATTGTCTACCTTGGAGAGGAGTCGATATGCCGCATAGAAGCCAGCCGGGCCTGACCCTACCACGGCCACGCGGAAAGGCCGATCATTCTGAACGACTTGGCTGTACTGACGCGATTGAGTTGTCAAGCGCGAGAGGATCTGACGTGGAGCATGGCGCACAGGCACGCGGCTAATCCGCGCCGTGCAATGGCCACAAATATATGGAGCACGTTGAATATTCATAGTGCAGCAAGACGAGGTGGGAGGAAAGAAGCAGAACCGCCGGGCCGGAGGAGAGACAGTTAACTCCGAACGGCGATGACATAAGAGGGTCCAACACGTGACCCTTATCAAAGTTGGTTGCCGCGCCGACAATCGCGTGTTGACGATCCTCCCGATCAACCCGTGGATGGAAGGCCAGTAGTCTCCGGCAGATGCACGATGGATGAGTGCATGTGCTGCTGCTGCTTTCTTGCTGTCGCTGCTGCTTCGTCTCCATCTCCTGTCACTCCACCCGTCCCACGGTTCGTACCTCTCTTTCCGTGGTATCTGTCGCCACAGAGCCGTCCGTCTATCTACCTCTAGATAGCTGTCTAATCCGACATTCTTTTTGTTAAGCTTAAACTCGTCTGTGCACATTCTTTTCCCCCGCTCGTCGCGTGGGTCAAGCCTTCGATATTAGATTGGGGCTTCTACCATAGCGATCATGGGCGACAATAACAATTCTTCATTCCTTTATGGTTATGCTTCATCCAACCGGTTCTACGGTTCGCCCGAACCTCCCTTCAACCCGAAGGCTGTGACACAAGCGAGCTGGACTCGACCGGAGCCAAAGCCTGAGTTAAAGGGACCGTTGGTTGATCATGCCAATACCCTTCCTGATGTGGTATGTGCTTTGCGGCTCTTTCTCAAAACTTTCCTTATTCAATGATTGCGTACTGATGATCTACACAAGCAATGCAACACCCCGAGTGCCAACCCGCGATGGACGCCGATGAGCCCAAAGACAAAAGGCCGTGTGGTCTATGGTCGCAAGGTACAGCTTGCGCTGCGCGTGCTCGCTCTTGCCGGAGCTATTGGATCCCTTTTTTGTTCGATCGTTATCAAGAATGCCGCGGTAACCGTGATATGGATTGTTAGAGTCGGGGTAAGTGATGCGATAAGACTATGTTACGTTGAGACAGCCTTTAACACCCTTCAAGCCAGCTGTCGCAATTTTGCACACTCTCTACGGCATATATACTTTGAGTCGCTCTTCTATTACAAGGCCTCCAGGATCGCAGGCTAGCTACATGTTCTTTGCCGCAACATTCGATCTAGGCCTGATCCCATTCTACGCATTTTCGGCCTACCTGGGTTACGGGCAATATACCGATAACGCATACGACTGGACTACAATGCTAGGGTCTGATGTTGACATGACAACCAAGATCGCAGAGGCTACTTTCCTGTTGGGTATAATCAACGGTGCACTCCATGCGATTTCCCTTGGAATATCTATCTTCTTGGGTACCATCTTCCGGAAAATCACCCGACTACCCCCAGATATGAACCCGCTAGAAGACAACTTGACTGCACGTCCGTTTTCAAGAGCCAAGTCCGAAATAATTGAAAAACGTGCCAGCAAATCTACCTTGGGCTCAGACAACATCTCCAGCGAAGACCCACTGATTGGTGTTCCGCGAAGTGTGCCTTTCATGGATACTCGCAGTAATCCACCCTTCAACAATGACTACAGCCGATTCCCCCCTACTTTCGCAGACAGAACGCCACCGCAACACACGCGCTCTTTTCATCGCCCGTCACGCATCGACACCATCCCACATCTACCTTTCCATCAACCAAACGATATTGATGATGCTACAACTATCGCGTCACCCATCGAGAATCCGGATATCTTTACCAGGGCAACTACGTCAATCCCGCGTGGTGCGCCAGTGCGCGAGCCATCCCCTGACCTTCCCAACAGATCTCAATGTGTGAGCCCGGCTTCAGAGAATTGGATTGTCTATCCGTCCCGGTCTACGACTCCTGTGGAGGAAGCTAAGGATGAGCACCCAGCTCCTCGTGACCCATCCTCTGTATACAGCCGGGCCGAAACCCCAGCCTCCTCTAAGGGCGGTGTTATGGATTGGTTCAGTCCACAACGATATGGCCTGAATATAGGGGAGGCTATCAGCGAGAATAAGCGTGGGGAATACGAGTCGATCGCGGCGAATGAATTTTATGGAAACGACGATGACGTTCATGACATTCTGTACCGAAGCGGATTCTACGATAATGCAGAGCAAGACCTTGGCGACCACCGGATTGACATCTTCCAAGATCACGAGGAGCTCGACGAAGACACGCGAAACTCCTTGAAGGTCAATCCATTAGCGCTGAACCCGCCCTCTCCCCTGCCGAAGCCGGATGAGGTCCAAAACCGCACTCCAAGCAATGGGCGCATGGCCCTCACTGACATTCCCAATCTCTCCCCCAAGCCTCCTGCCGAAGAGCCGCTTCTTGATAGTCTGCAAAAGAAAGGAAGTTTCTATGGAGAGCTTCCGCACAGTTTCGGACTTGATACTCCACGGAAAGTCAGCCACGACCAATCGAAGCTCACTCCAAAGAAGAACAAGCTCAACATCAAGAAAAGCCAGAAGTCTAACGCCTACGGCGCACTTAAGCAGCATGATGATGGTGATCTTAACGGCCTTGGCATTCCTTATGCAGACCCTGTGGCTATCGATGGCGATCGTAAAGGTCGCGTCGTTAGTAACTCCGGAGCTGATGCCACCCACGCTAACTCTTCATTGTCGTATGGCAACTACATCGCTGGTCTGGGAGTGGGAAGACGGCGCGATGTCAGCGGCAAGATGGCGGAAGAGGGCCGTGTCGAGACCAGCAAACCGAAAAATGAGAACGCAACACCAATCCGAGCGGCTGGATGGGCTCGCTTTGCGGGTCTATAGCACCAATAAGCTCGGAGCAGAAATTGCAAAAAAAAGGAAAAAACATCTACAACAATTTCAAGACGAAATACGTCTTTCTTTCATTGACTTTATGAAGCATATGGATATGGCTTGCACATGTTGGACATGAGGATCTTTTGACGATGATTGATGTGATTTTATATTTGTTTTATTGGTGATACTCCCCATTGTTTTACTGTAGACAATTACAGGTAGTTACGTAGTAGCTTAGCATACCATACAAAGAATATTGCAAATTTTCGAATTACTAATGTCTTATCTTACCGTCCGGACTCGGAATCTATATACAATTATTCAAACATATATACAATGAGAAATCATCACACCGAATTACGAAGGCACCCCCTCATATTCCCACCCCTTGATCACCCTCTTATTCCTCCTGGAATTGCGCCGGTTGGCATTACACTTAACAAATAGCGTCAGCGCAGCGATAATACAAATCACAATCCCAGCAATAGCAGCCACCAAGACCGTTCGTCTCTCCAGCTGTTGCGGATCCGACGCGTACGGACACTCCTGATCAGGACCTCCGGTTACCCAACAAGACTCCACATCAATGCAATTCATATTCAGCCAGACCTTCGTCTTGTTCGGAATTGCAGAGGTCGGGTCGAGAACGTCGGTCCGTGTCAGCAGGTACTGGTACAAATAGGTGTTCTCAAGACCGGTGCGTGGAACGGCCATGCTGGTATTTTCTGGACAGCCGTGGTCGTAGGCGTCTCGGAAGGTGTATGGGGTTGGGGATAATTGCCACGTGAAGGGGTTATTTCCCACGCGACACGCGGCGTAGCGGACTTGGCTGCAGTTGATGGCGCGCCAGTGGCCGCTGTTGGTTAGGTCTATGACGGCGCAGCGGTCCGTGGCGCTGAAGCTAGCGGAGGATGAGTCGGCGTTGGCAGGTTGACCGATGGACCAAGCCCAGGAGCTGGAAAGGGATATGTCTGTGTAGGGTTGAGGGTGAGTGTCGGCCGTTTGGTTGAACAGGGTGTTGTTCAGTGCTGGGGTGAGGCCGCATGCGGTTAGGTTGGAGGCCACGAGGGACATTGCTGCGATTGTTGAGTTCTCGCTTAACCCTTCTGGTATGGGGATGTAGTCGGATATGGCCCAGGAGTTGTTGGCCTGGGATACGGTGGTCGCGCCGGAATCATAGAAACAGCCGGTGTCGACGCTTCCGTCGGAGTCAAGTGATACGGATACTGTGGATGTGAGGTAGTTTGGTGGAAATATAACGTCACTCATGTAGGAGAAGTTGTAATCTTGGAGTTGGGAATCGATGGTCCCGTAGTCAATAAGAAGGCGCTTCTCTTGTGCTAGCTGAAGGTACTTCACGCAAGGCCAGCCATCAGGAGTACTTTGGTCGCCATTTGGCTCTTCATGAATTGTGAAGTACTCGGTGATGGGCTTATAGCCGTCTTCAACCTGGTACCATGACTGATTCAAGTTGGCGCGTTCGGAAGCGAGGGATGACGGCGTGTATATGTAGGAGGACAGATGCTCGTCAAATTGATAGCTGACAAATTCTGAGCTCGTAGGTAGCTGCGATCCAGTCACAGTCGATGCTGGTTCGTCGGGACTCGTCGCGCTCCCAGCCGCATGCAAATTGAGAGAAATGTATCTCGTAAAGACAGTCAGCTCGGAGGAATACGCCTGGAAGAAGCCTCGAAACACATTGATCAGGTCGGACAGGTCAAAATCCAATGAACAACGGTACGGACCCAGCTCATATAGAACCGAACCCGACGATCTGGCTACCGCAGTGACAGTGGCTTTGATTGTCTCGCTCGTTGTCGTTGTTGTGGTCGTTGCAGTCGTCGTTGCGGTTATTCCACTCGTCGCAGTCGTCGTTGTCGAAGAAGCAGGCGATATCGACGACACGGTCACAACTGGAACATCCGGAGAGAGCGACAACGGGCAGAACATCCAATCCCGTTGGTCAGACGACCAGTAAAGATCCACGAGAAAGCGGCGGTATCCGACAACCAGCAAGTTGGAGATGCATCTGCCCGCCGCATCCCGGTCGTAAATGTTGTCGCCAAAACATGCTGCGCGAAGTGAGACGGCGGATGTGGTGACGAAGTTAATTGGAATCTGGCCAGCTACATCTCTTTCGCTCTGAAAGATGTCAGTAACCGGAATGGGGCTGTTGTATGTATGAGCGCGATTGCGCGCAACTTACCAGGAAGACGGCCGCCTCCGTTGCATTCAAGGCCACATCTGAGGAGAAACTCAAGGACATGGGGCTGCGAACTGCAGGCAGCACACCGGAACCCGAATCACATTAGTTAAAAAAGGAGTGGAGTCTGCGTGGAGTGGCCTGATTGACGTAGTGAATGGATGAGGATGAACGTGAGGGGAGATGGATGCGCCGAGTGGGTGAATGGAAGCAGAACGGAGTGCGGAGAAGAAGGCGGTGGACGGCGACCGGGAGACCCTGGCGGCGCAAGTGGAAGGGCAACTGGAACACCATCTGGCCTTTTCATCTCCCGCCAACTTCCTGCCATCTCATTCATCGCCCACCCAAAACGTCCACTCGGTTTTTGCAAGTCACTGCGCTGTGCGCTCTTGCATCCCCTTTTTTCCCGAAACCATTTCAGTTCTTACATAAAAATCTATACACTCCTTCACCATGGCGGCGCCCGGCCAGCCGTCCCCTCAGCAGATTGCGGCCATGCAACAGCAGTTCGCCGCCGAAGCTGCTAGGCGCGGACTGACCCCCGAGGAATTTGCCAAACAGCAGCGCGAACAGCTCACTGCAGAGGCAGCCAAGCACGGAATGACCACCGAACAATATGTCACTCAGCTGAGAATGCGAGCTCTTGCCGCTCACCAGAGACAAGTCGAGGCTCAACGACAAGCTGCTCAAGCCCAAGCGCAGGGCCAGCCACAAGGGCAAGGGCAAGCACCTCCTCAATCGCCCGCCCAACCAGGACAGAACCTGCCAGCACCCCCACAACCTCAACCCCAGCAGGTGACCCGTCAGGTCCCCGTGAACCCTAACAACCCTCCTGATCCGAAGGCGCTCGCCGTTGCCGCGTTCCTGCGATCGCAGAACCTGAAGACACGGACGTGTATCATGGACGGGCAGCGGAAGGAGATGTTCAAAGGTATACCATTATACCACTCTTCGTGAATTCCGTGTGTATGGAAGATACTCATAAGTTACAGTGAAACGTGCCATTCGCGCCATCGAGTCCCCAGCTTACGCCAAGGCGGCTGCCAAAAAGAACTCTCTTCTTCCTCCAGTCACCGATCGCGCCTCGGCAGAGAACGTCTTTAAGCTCCTTCCCCTATCACTTCTTGCTCTGCGGGTGACCAAAGTCGACCCCCATGCAGGCCACAACCATGGCAAGTCCAAGAACCGTGTCAAGGGACTGTGGACGGTACGCATCGAGCAGCACCAAGAAACCGATCCTATGATGCACTATGTCTGGCTGTGGGAAGGTCCGCAGTGGAAGCAGAAGGTTATGGCCGCAGCTGTAGTAGCAGGTATCTTTGCGGTGGTGCTCTTCCCCCTGTGGCCGATGATGCTGCGTCAGGGTGTCTGGTACCTGAGTGTGGGCATGATGGGTCTGCTGGGATTGTTCTTCGCCATGTCCATTTTCCGTCTTATTCTGTTCTGCATCACAGTCATTGCGGTTCCCCCTGGTCTATGGCTGTTCCCCAACCTGTTCGAAGATGTTGGGTTCGTGGATAGTTTCAAGCCCCTGTGGGGTTGGCAAGAGGTAAGCCATCTACCACGATTATCGCAGAAGGAATGACAATCTCTAACCTCTATATCCAGACCAAGAAGAAAAAGACCAAGAAGTCCAAGAACGTAGGAGGCGAGGAACCCCAAGCCGCAACCGCTCCGTCCGCCACCACAACAGCAACAGCAGCCCCGGATACTTCAGGCACCGTAAAGCGAGACCTTGCGGCGCGCGTGGAGGAAGTCACCGAAGAGTAATCGATTGATGTACCTTGATTCCATTCCATACAGTTGACTGCGGAAAACCATTGAGCATTTCTTCTTCATCTACGTGAAAGAGACACATCTCTTTTTTCTAATCCCATCCTATCCTTTTTCATCTCTGTACGGTAACTCTTGCACCACCTCGTTTCTACACATCGGTCGCATTTCCTTTCCATTGTTTCTGAGTTAGGTAGGGGTATTCGGGTTTTGGGTTTACAACTTGCTTGCTAGCCATGATTGAATTGCTTTTACTGTTGGCACAAAATATATGAGAGAATCTTTCACATACAAGCTCGGCATGCGTATAGTGGTACTATGCTGGATCTATAGTATAAATCCTCATTTATCAATCACTACATGCGAAATAAGGTAAGTCACTACGATATACATATATGATCTTCAGTTTGAACGCTTGCCCCTCAGGAGAGGAGAGAGAGTGAAAGAGAAATACCAGAGTATATTCCCAGTACTATCAGCACTGAATAAGTGTCAATCAATGTACATACTCGCAGATATCCATCATCTCTTCGTATCTATCAATCAATCAAGTTAAAATATGATCAACATCGACCTACCTACCCATTACATAATAACCTCCTCGGAGCCAAGGCGGGTGATTCTCGGGATTCTCGCCGTGAGCGACGAACCCCAACGGGCCGGGCCGTTTCGTTTACCAGTTGCGTGCGCATCATCTACGTAGTTGCCAAAGGTACTCCGTAGATAATAGATATCTATAGTGGTGTACGTTGGCGATTCTAAGGGAAGAAATCTTGGAGAATGGATATTGGGAAGGGGTAGGCCGATTAGGAAACTGTATTGTTGACTGGCAACGGTATGCTGAGCTCATAACTTCAAGGAGAGAGATGTAATGATTGGAGCCTGGAGTAGTAGTAGTAGTAGTAGTAGTAGTAGTAGATCCCCGGTTTGTATTATTATCTAGTATATTCGCTCTGGGATCACTGTATAACAGCCTGTATATGATAAAAGTAAATAGAATACAATCTCAGAAAGTGAAGTAGAATGAGTCACAAAACAGAGTGCCGCCACGTCTATCGTTTTGTCAGGAGTAATGCATAAAAAGGAAAAAGTAGTAGTAGCCTGTTGGGTAGTAGATGGTAATAGTCGACATATCTGCCAGTACATTCACGAATGGTATCAGGATGTATAATAAGAGGGAGTAAATCAGAAAGAAAGAAGATAGAACAACGCTGGATCGCTATGTAATGATACGATGATCGACATCGTCGACTGTCAAAGTCGACGGAAGCAAGTCGTGCCGTGGCGACGTGGAAGCATAATGTGTAGAGATAGGATAGGATGAACATGTACAAGGCATGCAAGGGTTCATCATGCGAATGGGCGAATGTATGTATAGTAAGGAGTGATTAGAGGCTGACAGATTAGATCTGCGGCATTCTGGAATGCCGGGACACGCTCCGACTTTGCATGCCGTGGCCGGCTGGAATTGGAGCGGAACTCTTGCGCTGTTCCCGGATAGTATGTAGCGGGGAAGGCGAGATGCACTGTCGGAGGTCGGCGGGTGCATCACCCCAGTTGGACGATTGTGGGTCGACTGGAGAAGGGATCTTGGGCAGTGGACAGTTGGGGGGTGGTGCAGCTGGCGGTCCGATCAGCCCTGGCATACTCTTCCGGCGACCCATGGCCACTGGGGGCAGACGGGTGTTTGGATCTGGTTGGTACATAACAGATCCTCGGGTCCGCTGCTGATCACGACGTGCGTCTGAGCCCACAAGCAACGTGGTATTCGGCCCTCCGCTGACAGCAGTTGTTGGACGCAGGACTTGGGCTGCTGTACTGGGTTGTATGCTTCGAGGCATCCGAGAGAGACGATTGTTTCTGGGATCCGCTATACGCTGATTATCGGCTAGCGAGTCTTGAGAAGTGGAAACGCGCAGTGGTGGTCTCTTAGGTTGACCTGCATGGAGTGGCCACGGCTTCTTCGGTTGCGGCTCTAGCTCTTGCGGTTGTTGCTGCTCCTCGCTGGGCTCCTCCGGTAGGAAGCCGTTCGGAACCTTGCCTGGAGATTGGGGTGGAGAAGGAAATGCAGAAAGAGCAGCAACAGTACTTTTGCTGCTTGCATCCTCCACGGCTGGGGGAGCCTGAGAGACCTGGGGGACCTGAAGTGGACCAAATCGGGCAGTGAATCTCTTGCTGAAAGACGGGACGCTGAAGTTAGGTGCGGGCGGCGAGGTGCTGCGGAGCACTGGATCCGGTTGTGTCGATTGTGCCCGTGGGATCTCAGCAGCCATCTCGGCGGCGGTCTTGATCGTTGATGGCGACGATATGTTCAACGACCGACGCTTCGTTGAGCTTTTGACGCTTGGACTTGCTGTGCCGTCTAAAGATGCTGCTACCATACCACCGTTGGGTGGCGAACTGGGGACACTTGCGCTGGGAATAGACGAGTAGAATCGTCCCGTACCGCTCACAGGAGATGTTATTTCTGTATGTGTGGTGGATATAGAGCCTGAGCGGGATTCTGATGCAGCCGGCATGACTATCGACCGGCGATTGAGAGAGATGTAGGAGCTCCGACGGGATTGGTCGCTAACGCTGACACCTGTGTCCTTGTCTTCCTCAGACACAGACTGTTGAGGTTTCAGTAGCATGGAAAACCGGTTTGGATCTTTGGTCACCATTTGGCGGATACTGGGCTTAGTCTGAAGCTGAGGCTCTTCCCCATCATCGGCTGCCTTTTCCGAAACATACTTCTTACCCCCTCGTGCTTCGATCTGAGCCCGAACGGCCAAGAGCCAAGAGCTCATATCCTCGGGGTGGTCGAATACAAGAAGGAAGCAACGCTCAAGCCGCCGGGCTGGCGACCTGTGAAACCCGAAGCGAAACCGGGAAGGCTTAGTCGAATCCGTGCCGTCTTCGTCGGTATGCGATACCTGCAGCACCCAATGCTTTCCAGGAATCGCATCGCTAGCAAAGGCTACAGTCCGAGGACCGAGCTGTAACATTTTCTCCGGCAGCCTGTCGTATTTCCCTGAGCCGGAATATTGTAATATATAGCCAGCGGTGGCCAGCACATAGACTTTCTGGGTCCAGTCTGCTTTATTCATGGTCTCGGAGAGGGTGCGCATATGCCGTTTTCTCTCCTTGTCTTCCTTTTTCTTCCGAGCCGCGCCATCCTCCGTCAATTCCCCGTTGGCGGGCTCTTCTTCACGAGCGCCAGCTTTAGCCTTTGATGTGGCATGCATGCGCATGATGGAATCCACCGACATGGCGGGGACTGGAAGAGTGTCATGCTTGATGGCCTGCGGATACGCCTGAAAGAGTGGTGGAGGTTTCCATCCTATATCACCCCCGGCAGGCTTCTCGTTACCTGTTTTCGTACGAGATTTGGACGGAAGCCTAGACTGTTGTGACCCCGTCGTTATCGGCGATGTGGAGAGCGTAGCCGTCGAAACGGTGGTCTTCGGTGTGGCAGCAGCTGTGGGTGATTGAATTACCGGAGCTGCTTCGGTTGCAGGTTGTGTGCTTTGTTGTTGCAACTCATCGATGCCCGTGAGCTTAGCATCGCTGGCTTGCTTTCGGGAAGACTTGTCGCGTCCGAAGATGTTCCGCAGGCTGGACTTGGAAGTTTGACGCTTAACCGGCGTGGCCTGCAATGGGACTCGTTCACCTGCCTCCGCATCACCCTGGTAGTCTGTGGGCCGTGGGCGCTGTGGTCGGCCGGGTGGAACCTCCACCGGACGTGCGGTAGGACGACTGAAGTTGGTTTGTAGAGGGGCCAATCGCTGGCCTCTGCGCTCGCTGACCGATTGTTGAGGGGAGTGAATTTCTAAGGTCATCCTTGGTCAGACCTCCACTGTATGTCCCGAAGGCGGACGTCGGATTTCCTGCGGTCTATTTTGAGATGGTTGAATGGGTATATAGTAAACAAAAATCACGCGCATCAATTGATGGCAGTAGGGTTGGGTATAATTAACGAAGGGAGAGATCGAAGATTTGGGTTACCAATGAGGGTCTCATTGATTGATAAAGAAAGACTAGAGTGCTCGAAAATGAGAAATTTGTCATCGCAAGTTGACGATGCTAATTCAAGCATAGATCATGCCCGACCGTGTAGGGGACAGCAAAACTTGTTTAAAAAGGAGAGACCTCGGACAGATGGGGTGAAATACACCCAGCGTGAATCCTTGGTGGACGGTGAATACGAATTAAACTCGAGATCTTGTCTTGGGGCGTGCGCGACAGGGAGTGACGAAGTGGCCGTGTGGGATCAACAGACAACCAAATCAGGGAAAGCGATTGGGAGTCAGACACACGTCATAGTCGGCAATTGGAGTGTGGAGGCCCGTAGACAATAGATTGCGAAAAGACCCAGGGAGCGAAAGAGAGAAGAGGAATTGAAGAAGAAGTAGTAATGTGTATGAGAGTGATTGTGTGAACGAGAAAAGAGAAGGAGGAGATGGAAGTGTGACAAAGAAAAAACGGACCAACGCGAAACAAGACGAAACAGGCTCCAGGCAGGCCAGCAGCGCAAAGTTTCTGGGATTAAATTAGATTATTGATTGCCCGTCCATAGAACCTGCCCCGTCGGGCCTAGCCAGCGACTAGAGGGCTAGTGGTGATGACAAGCAGATCTGAAACGGTCTGCGCGCGCAAGCGAACCCCCTGAGTGGAGGGGAGGGGGATGAGCTGAGCTGGGGATGGGCCGGAGAGAGAAAGAGGGATCAGTCTGGAGTAGATTCGCACAAAAGATGGATAGTATGTGATGTGAACGCGACCTGCATCTCTCCCGCCACCGAAGTTGATCACCCAACCCAACATATCCACTCCTCCCTCGGGGGAGAGAAACCATAATGAAATTGCAGAGTCAATGTTGATGCCCCTGAACTGAGCCAAACCTTACGGTCCCCACTTTCCGGGCAACGGTTGTCGGTTGATGAGCGAACTAGAGGCCTCAAGAGGGGGTAGTTCGGTTAGTCGTGTTTGATTTTCTCCGGATGATGAACACATCAATCGCAAACATTGGTTGGAGACGGGGGAGGAGAGGAATGCTTACCTGCAGAGTGACAGGACCTCCCTGTCAGATTAGATGTCGGGATAGTTGGTTGGTTGTTTTTTTTCGTTTCTTCACATCGGGTCGGCATCTGGTTGGATGGCATGACCCGAAGACGGGCAGAGACTGGCGCATTCCAGCCATTTTGCTCAGCTGAAAGTTCGACTAGACTAGCTTGACTGACTGGCTGGATTGATTGTTGAACTACGCCTTTGGGTCTAGTTTGTTTAAGTTATCGTCCACGAGGAACCTAAGCGCTGACTAAGAAGCTCCCCCTCTCTCCTCCGCCCTTGTTTTTGATTGTTTGAAAAATAATACTAATGATGATAATCAATCATGTTGGTCAAATTGGCTGTGGTGGGAATATTCCGCTGGCAAGTCACTAATCAATACTAAACAATCACACTCAATATTAACATGAATCTCCCTCAGCTCCTTACGCCACACAATCCCCATTTTCATCCAACAATGGGATTAGTCTCGACCCGGAGCGCACTTTTTCCCCTGCCCTTGTTCCACCGACCCCATCAGCTCCGCTGCCTCGTCGCAATGCTGCGCCATTTCCAAGTCCTTCTCACTTAAGCCCCGGGGATGGTGGGTAGTCCAGTGGATATCGACCGATCCGATTCTCTAATATGATTCCAAATCAGCCTCAATCATAACCACTTCCTTCCCCCCTTTTTTCCTCCCGGTGATGTGTCACACTTACCACAGTCATGGTTGGATGGTGCTTCTTGGTTGAACTCTGCGATGCGACCACGTTGACAAAGCTCTGCAAATAATTCCAGATCCGTCAGATGACCTTGCGCCCGTATCATATCTAACATATCGAAGGGGGGCCAGGAAACAGGGGGGGAGGGGGCCAACATACCACCGCCTTGAAGTACGACTTGAAATAGTACGTCTTCTTCACGCCCTGTCCGTCCTCATCCAAGACCCATCCCTGTTCCTGCAGCGACTGCAATCCCTGGCGCGCCTGTTCGGGGTTGGTCCCCTCAGCAAACTGTGGGTCCGCCATCGTCGAAGCGTGGCGCAAAGCTATCCGATACAAAGGGGCGATTTTGGGGAGGTTGGAAGTGAAGGTGTTGAAGGTCGCCGCAACACGAGGTTGTCCGAGGCGGTGGGAGGAGGGAGGGATAACGCGAGAAGAGGAGGGTCGTAGATGGTAATTGCGGCGGAAACAGTAACGCTGGAGGCGAGTGACCACCGCTCGGGGCTGCTGAATTGCCCTAGATACGTGGTCCATGCTGAACGGTGGTAGAGAAGGGTCGATCAGACTATTTGCATGCTGGCCGTCGAGTTGTCGCAACAGCAGCTCTCACTAAGCATCTCTCCGCGGCCACCGACCGTCTGGAGCACGTGACCGGGGGTGGCTGCGGACGGGTCGATCTCCCGCGGCAAGCGAATTGGCCTGCATCCGCCGTAGATAGAGTGAGTGAGGACTCTTCGCCACGATACGCTGGTCGATGGCTCCATATTGACCACATGATCTCGAACCCCCCCCTGCTTGGTACGTCGATTAGCTCGGGTCAGACTCCTGCTGGCTGTACTGTTCTCTATATTTAGCCGTCGAGCGCAATACAAGCATTTGGTGAGCTATGACATACTAGAGCATACATACCACGAATAAAACTGATTGCAGTGCGGTCATGTCATATAACAACAAGAGTCACAAGAATGTTTTAATCAATGGATATCTCACTTAAATAAAGCCATTTCTGAGCAACATTGTAGGTAAAGGAGCCATAGAAAGCGTTGAACTCCCTTGAGTCATTCAATAGTGAGAAGCCAACCAATACCCTTACATCCTCGGCAATGCCACCCGAACGACCCATTCGACGGGGCCACCACATCAATTCATTCTAGAAAAACCGGCGAATGTTTCGAAACCCCAGATGGCAAACATGTGATTCCTCAAAGGCCTGTAGATCTCCCGCAGGGGTACCTGCATCAGCAGCCTCCAGAATGCAGAAGGTATCTCATCTTTCTAACGGTGAGAAAGGCAAAGCACACAAGTACCAGTGTCACTCAGGTTATGGTGAGAAATAGTATCGAGCTAGACCAAATCGACATGGGTCGTCAAGCTCAGCCAAGCTTGAAGGAAATATCACCCATGGCTGGCTTTAGAATTTCATCCCTGGGATCGGGGGAGGGTATTCCGAGGCTGCCGAATCCGATGGCCCCGTCCGGATCCAGATGCAAGGTCGGTGTCTCCACATTCCAACCATCGGCATGGCTCGGCCATTGCTTCATCTGTAACCTGATGCTTCCCCCGCCATCCGAGTCTGTTCGGTACTGCTTGGCCCGGTTCTCCATGGTTCTGCTCCCGCTTGGTTGCATTGTCTGGTTGCATCCCATTGATGGTTATCTCCATCGAGATCATACGGGACCCGGTGTGGGTTCATAGGCATTTATGCTTCAAGAATCAATTGGCTTCCAATCATGTTTATTTTTTTTATTGATCGTCCCAAACACCCCATCTGGTATCTCTTCGAGGGTGAGACCGTGAACGGTCGAGCCTGCAAAAGCTCCTTATAGCTAGATGTTCGAGCCAGCCAGAAATGGCCAAAGCTAACCAAGACAACCAAACCAGCAGAAAGCTAACCTAGTACTAGTACACGCTCCAAAAGCAAAGCTAATACGTCCCTCATTATTTTCCAACTGCCAGCGCCTTGCCTCGAACTGAAAATGAATGTCACGCACATACTATTGGGTTTTGTAGGCCCAACCCGTTTCCGGACAAATTATATAAGGGACAAGTCAGTGGATCATAGAGAGAAAGCAAACAACGTTTATGACCTGCAAAGGCATCGGCCATAATTGGTATCAAAGCTCATTAATCGTCTCAGTGACATCGTAAGAATGTATCCGAGCGTTTCATGTCGCATGCGCGATGATTTCGGCAGAAATTTAACGAGAAAGGCTGTTTCTTCGCGAGTTGACCCGGGAGTTGACCCGGGAGTTGACATTCGAGGCCGGGCGGGATGCTATGTAACTGCCAGGACGACTTCCGAGCGTGTGACGAATGCGTAGGTTCTGTTGCGAACGCGCAAAGGAATTTGCCCTTGAACCGGAAGGAATCTTAGACAGCCGTCGGCCATGAGTCTGAAGCTCGACTCTTGCGTCCGACAGCTGTTGGGCAAACGGCGATCGCTTGCGAAGTGCTGGTCCGTACCAGTAGATAACGTATACTGCAATGACCAGGAGGAAAGAGATACAGACTGAAGTAAATGCAGTTAGTTTGGAAATCCTTTTGAGTCGTAGAGCATATCGAGTTATGACTTACATAGAATGGTAGACGCGTATTCCAGGTGGTATTTACCGCCAATGTCTAAAAATCATCCGTTAGAACCCCATAGAATCTATGCCAGTAACAATTTACTCACTTTCAAAGAATGGTGTGGCAGGGATGGTGAGCACACCAGCCAAAAAGTCTCGCGACCATCCGTTGCCGCCCGTTGCAGAAGCCGAGTACGGTCCGTATGCGCAGATCATGTAATCGATAGTGGCCATGTAGATGCTGTAGTTGGCAATACCGACGATGGCAGAGAATACCATGCTCCCAATCCAGTGGACAGGAGGCCCCAAACTGGTCCACGCGAAGCCAATCAAGCCAATGGGCAAGCAGGGGGCTGTATAGAGAAGGAACCAAAGCCGAGACTCGTACTGAGCCCGCTCATCGTCAGGCTTCCTGCGTCGCTCCTCAATGTTCCTTCTAATGACTGGGATGAAAGCGCCCCATGCAATGAAGTAACCCACGAGGATGGGAAGGAACGACAGGCCTAGCTCCACGGTGCCAAACCCCCACTGGTCGTACACGAGGCTGAACGACTGAATAAACATGAAGATCAGGGCATCACTGAAGCCACTCAGAAGAGACAGAGTGAGGACAATCGGCTCCGTCAAGAACATCTTAAAGGGACGGATCCAGGTGATGAGGACTTCGCGCATCGAAAAACGTTCCCTGAAAGGGACGAGCTCGTTCGGTCCATAGATATTGGGGCCTTCGCCGCTCTGCCTCCGCTTCTTCGCGATACGGTCCATCATGATCGTTGTCCGGGTCTCAGGTACCAGAAGCAAGTGCGCCACCTGCACGAAACCCCCGAATATGAGCTGAATCCAGATGTTCCAGCGCCACGGCAGATATGCTTCCACAAATCCTCCAACGACTGGCCCGATCACGGAGCCACCCACTGAAGAGAATACGACGCAGGCGACAGCATATTGCTGGTCATCTGCTTCCCAAAGATCCGCGATCATACCCAGGGTAACTGAACCACCAGCTGAACTGAGACCTCCAAGAGCACGTCCCACCATGATAGATGCGAAATTGGGGGCGAGAGCAACGGGAAGTTGCCAAATATTCACAAGGAACAGACTGAGCTGTAGGATAGGCTTCCGACCTAGTTCCTCACTCCAGGGAGCCCATAGCTCGCAACCAAAGGCGTAGAGGACCAAGAAAATCATGGCACCACACCGAGCAGCTTGCATGCTGACTCCGAATTCTTCGGATATACCGGTGAGGGCATTCGAGTAGAGACTGGTGTTGAAATTCATTGATGTTTGAACAAGGAAGATGACCGAAATGATCATCCACTTCTTCCAGCTGGGAAAGGCATAGCCGAGTTGGTCGTAGCAGTCTTCCTCAGTCAGCTCAACCTTTTCGGACGCGGCATTCTCTAGTTGGTGTAGAGTAGTTCCAGCGTTAGGGTCTGACGGAAGCGTTTGAGGCTTTTGTTGCTGTTCCAGAGCCTTTTCGGTCGCTGGATCAAGAATGGTGTCGGTGTGAGTAGAAGACGAGGCTTCTGACTCATGAATCTTTTCATGATTACTCATGTCTTTGTCTGGGCGAGAAGCCATGATGCGCACTGTAATATACTGAATTAGTCGCTGCATGGTGTTTGATTCGGAGAAATGTAGACTGCGAGAATAGTGGGAAAAGAAAGCAAAGCATGAAGTGCAGAGATGCTTGTAATTTCACGCCATCATGCAACAGTCACATTGGTGTATGAATAGCATGTACTTACAGCCGACCCAGACTAGACAAAGATAGAGAAGACCAGGCAATTAATGCGAGCAAGTGAGAATGGCAATAGCAAATCACTGGACGGGAGAAGGGAAGGAAGGAACACTGAGAGGTTCTTGTTAGGGGAGGACTGGGAATTCAGTATAGGAAGGAAGGAGAAGAAAGAAAGAAAGCAGGTGAGGGTGGAGAGGGAGGAAGAAGTAGAAGTAATCACAAGCAGTAGATGACGGTAGACTGGGTTAGGCCAGAAAGGGAAAGAGCGCAGGAGGACTGGAGAAAGAGATCAGGCCTACCTGGGACTAGTATCAAAACTACTTTTTCAGGCAAGTACCCCAGAAAAGGCAACCGCGACGGGGTTCTCTCACGGTACTTATATCCAAGCAACCAGTCGTATCAGGGGAAGAAGTGGGTGATGTTACCGCAACACCCATGGATCGCACGGGCAGCACTGCAGGAATGACTCTGCTTCTATATCAATCCACCAGTTTTCTCTCCTCCCCCCAATGGGAGCGGGCGATTATACATTTAGAGTTCAGACGGTCCAGGCGTCTCCGATGACTCGGGGCATGGGGACTTAGTTCACTTTGACCTTTCATTTCCAATTTACACTTTTTGTTTTGTTCTTGCTGCAACATCAGCCTTCTGCCCCTTTCTACTTTGCCACTCACCATTATTAAGCCCCTACTCTCTGTGGCTTGTAATAATGATGAGAGCACTCGCATGAATTCTTGACAGGACTGGCATAACTCAAAATTAAGGGAGAGTGGATGCATATTTCCCGGATGGGTTGTTGGGTATCGGTTGTCTTTGGCCAAGCAGCCGGCCGCACACGGTTAGGGCCGAATGATGATGCATTTGGCCTGCCGAATCAGGACCGGCGTGGTAGGTACTACATACCACCTAAACCAGACTCCGAAGAAGCCCACTTGCCACGCTGACAACGGCCAGTCATCTTCCGGCTAGGTCTGGGGCGATGCTGATGGACGGATCCATCGTGCTTAACTCCGTCCTTAACATCATTCCTTAATCACTCATCGCCTGACCCTTGGGGGAAACCGGGTTGAGTTCCCAGAGCCAGGAGTGGTCGGCGCGACCACCACGGCTTCCCCACTTCGGTGGTCGCCGATATTCATTACTGCCACTGGAGCCGTTCTGGGCCGACAAGACGGTCTCAAGAATGCCCGCTTCGGGGAAGCCTGCCACGACACGGGTGCGGGAGGACTTCTTCCTACGGTGAGAGATGGCGAGTTATGTTGAGGATACTGCAATTTAGACTTTGTGCGCCAGTCTCTACGTTAAATGAAGAAAACGCCCTGGACAGGCCGAAACGGGTCCAGCCTGTCAATAATGCGGGCGCAAAAAGTGTGCCCACGCAAGGGGCCGGGGACTCCAGGTGGCCATGAGCGCTGTACATGACTGCGTGGTCTCCCGAGCGGATGGGTCATGAAAGCTGACAACCATGATACCGAGCAGAAAAAAACAAGAGATATACACTAATACTGCTAGTGTTCCTGTCCGGGTTTTGTAGTCCGGGGGGGAGGGTGGGCTGCAAGAACAGGAAGCCACAGCATTGGTCTGTGTTCCGCGCATTTTAGGCGGTTTCCATGTTGGACCCATAATTCCACTTCGCATTTCCCACGGGGTTGGATTAGCTGGTCTCGGGGTAGCCGGGGGTGACGTCAAGCCTCCTCTGACGAAGACGATCGGCGCCCCCAATGCTTTTTTTTTTTCCTTCTTTCTCACGTATTACAAGTGTGTCATCGGCTTATTCGAATCCTGGGGTTTTGTGTTCCTCCACTACCGTCATTGACTGTTCCAATGGACATCTATGTGGTCATGCTCATGTATCTGAACATGGAGGGAAAGGCAAGTAGTAAGTTAATGACCACGCTGGCCCCTGCTTTCCAGAACGCTGTATCGAAACCTGTCGCCGATCGAGCGCCATCACATATGCCAAGCGGTACTGCACAGGGTTTTTCAGCAAACCTCAAAACTCCCACCAGTCCTACTGACATACAAACAAATCACGATGACTACTCCGCCACCAACAGGGTTGAACCCCCGCTATCACAAAAATGAATGGATTGACCCCTGGCCATCTAGGTGGAGATGGCGAAGTCAACTTCGATGAAGGTACTAGACATTTCGGTAATCTGTACCGATTTGGAGCACAGCCAACCAGTAGGCTGTTGTTTACAGCGGCTACGTAAAATTTTCTGTCAAACCAGGAATGTTAAAGGATTCCAACCTGGTCAGCCAGGAAGTAGTAGCACCCCTCTAGTAGGTCCGAAATTCGGGACATGGGGTACTGCTATACCAAGAGCCCAGCACCGAGGCCATTTCCTCCTGGTGGCTTCTGTGTGGTCGGGTAGTGCCGCCATCCCACTCTCAAGGTTGGTTAAGACTTGACGCCAAGATGGTGTGGCGGACGATCCCCTGGTAAGCAGGCAAAATCGACTGTTGAGTGTAGAAAGTACTGCCCGGTGAGTCGGGTTCTCTCTGCAGAGACGTTCAAGTCCCAGCAAGCATTCCTCAGGAAGGGGGCAACAGAATGTTCGATTGCATGGTGCTGCGATATCACTTAGGCTTTTTATCCACTGTCAACCACTGAGAAAATTCCCCGAAACATTCAGATCGATCTGTTCACGTGCGTGGGGGTTGAAGTGGTATTCGGGAGATGACCGAAAGCCGGACCGGCTTTGCAATACCGTTTCCAGGGAAGAAGCGACTCCAGTCTTTCCCCGGGCCAGACCGATTTGGTGCCGGATCCAGTATCTCGTGAACTAGACCGAATCTAGGCATCCCGTGACCATCGACCCGTCAGCAAAGCGTCAGTCTGACTTGAACACTTCGATGTTGACCGCCTTCAGTTGCAGGAATGCGGCACGCCGGCTCCAGCTCTGCAATCCACTGCAACCAAACCCATTGTTTGAACCAACCGGCCCGTGGCAGCAAGTGGTCGCAGACAGACACACTGTTCAGATAACGGTTCTTGACAGAAAGTGGTGGTTTGAGCTATTCAGTTGGACCTTTCTCATCAACAGACCCACTGTTATCCATTGGCCGGCCCCCTTTAACCTGCCCCCCTCAAGTCATGTCGCCCGATATCAACTCTCTGTCCCCGACCTGGTCCACTGCCTCTTCCCCGCGTCAACGTCGGCTGCCCCCGACTTTATCCGATAACTTATCGTCGCAGCATACCCAGCCAGACTTTCCTTCTGCAGCCCTGCCCAACATGAATAACGGTTCATCAAATAACCATAGCAACATCATAGCCACCGATCTGCCTCATCGGCCCTCTCATAGTCACCGCTCCAGCATGTCAGGATCGGAACGCCGTCGGTCCCGTACCGGTTCCAGTTCAATCCTGAACAATGGCCATACCAACGCTAGTGACTCGGCCCCCGGGGAACCGACCACAACCCCCCACGACCACCACCGGTCTTCCTTTGGCCATAACGGGCTTCGCACCTCCAGTCCGCTCAGTAATGTCGGGGGAAACCCGACCGTTGCCACCGGGGACCCGCATCATCAACGTGCACCGTCCCTGGGGGAGCTCCATCAGGAACTAGAACAAGAACAAGAAGCACAAGTGGTATGATCCAACTATTGTTTGTGCCACTATTCGGCGCATTCTTCGTTGCTATCGCACCACCATGAGTAAGAGGAAACCACTAACCACGATCCTTGCAAATGGCTAGAACCGTCTTTTACACATGATCCGAAGCCAGCAAGCTCAGCTGCAGCACCTTCAACAGCAACAGCAACACTCACAGGCCGTGGTGGATGACTCTGGTCCTGCTGCGGAACGGCTGACCCCATTCCCCCCAATTCCCCCGCTCCCCACAACCAGCAGTCGGGCGTCAACCCAATTGCCTTCCTCCTTGTCCAGCCGGCGACCCTCCCGCCCGTCTAGTCAAGCCGCTTCACCCAATCTCCGACCGCTGGCCGAGCCGTCGTGCGGGTCAGAGGGTCCGGATTGGAGTGCAGGCCCCGGTGAGAGCCCAGCGCGGCGGGGAAGCAGGGATGAGAGCGCATTTTACCAGGCGGAGGCAGCGATGCTGACGCGCGAAAATCAAATGCTCCGACAGCGAATCCGCGATTTAGGTGCGCGATTTCCCTTCCCCCCTCCTTCATTACTATTCTTCATATCCTTTTCCTCCCCTATTACTGAGGCGCACGGAGCCTCAATAGAAGCCTCTACTTAGAGTTTTGCGCTGACGGCGTATAGAACGCCAAGTTAGTGAGCTGACCTCTGGTGCCCGATCCAGCGAGATCCCTGCGGCACCTACCGCACAAGGAACCGAGGCCGTAGATCACCCAGCGTCCGCAGGAGTGGGATCGGCGAACGAGTCGTCAGACAAGACCTGATTGACCAAGAGCCACATGGGAGGCTTTTTATTCCTAACACTTTGTTTTCTTACGGTGTATCTGTGAATTACGGAGTGCATTCTTCCCGGTCAGCAGTGATCAGCATGTTCTTGTGATGGATGAAAAAGCCACGTTCGGTATCTGAGCGGGAGTTCATGCGCAGCAAAATAAAATATACCTCCACGATGCTTGTCTGCGCATGATCATTAAACATGTCTACATATCGTTGTAGTGGCTGTGCGGTGGGCATATGATTTTTCGAAACATCAACTCCCGTAATTAGCCGCGTGTACTGAGGCCCCCGGTGTGTGGGGTACATACCTGTCCACTAAGTGATAAGTGCAGGGGAAGTGAAAAGAATGCGTGACCACCCCCAGCTTGCCCAATGAAGACAGACAAACCTTTTGTCCTATGTACGGAGTACAGTCACATAGTACATACATTAGTGCATACGTTGGAAGTCATCTCCATCTCCACGGGGGCCCGCCACGCGGTCTTTTCCCTTGCTCGAAAGTCAAATGTCATAATTAAGTTACTAAGTTAGTTGTTGACACTGAGCGCGGTTTTAAAGTTTTCCCCCTAGCATTTAGTTAATGCTAAAGCTTACTTAGCATACATACACCGGTTACTCAACGAGGAAATTCCACGAGGGCGGTGCGGTGCTGTCTATCTTTCCTTTTTTCTGTCTTGGTACTCCAACTGAAAGAGTGGATTATTATAAATTTGTATTGAAATGTCATTGTATTTTTGGGTAGAATATACCGGGGAAAAGTTTATTTGGTAAATGTAAGATGCGGGGGTTTATGTGGTAGTTGGGGTTGCTAACTGGAATGGAACTGAAGTGAAAACTAGGGTCGTGGATATTGTACAATGGCGATAGATAGATTTCTTTGGTTTGCGCAGTCGCTGATGGTTGATTACTAGTAACTGTGCGATAGATAGCGAGTACTAGAGCCACTTTGAATCCAAGAGGAACTCATTACTAACAAAACTGAGAATGTGATAAATCATGGACGTAAATTTAGTTCGGATCTTGTAATTATGCGATCCCTCAGTGTTGAGTATTGCTAGACTTCCAGACTATTTATGCCAGATAATTCAAAATAATGAACTCCTACTCATGGATCTCTTGGAACCCTTCGTTACTATAAGAACTAGATTTATATTGTCTCATACCTCACACCTGACTCTTCCTCGTATGTGAAAGACATAAACTCAATCAAATCCGGTGCAGGATTCTATCCTCGACGGCCAACAGGTAACCAAGCGAGCCTAATGTGCAATAACAGCTTTTTCTCGGGGTCGTTCATGTTGTGTTTTGTAGCTTTTCTATACGATCGCTCGAATGAGACGTTGATGAAGGAGCAGCCTAGCGGGATTGTTCTTCGAGGTATCACCAAGGGAAGTTCTATCTCGTGGAACATATCTTATTTGATTTCGATGAAATCTGCTTCCTGAACTAGTAGCTTGGATTTCTGAAACTTTGTAGTTCGGGTCATTCTTGGTGTGAATCGGTCTGGTGCATTGACAAAATTCGTATGGCCCGTGGAATGGGTGAAATCCGTCCTGTCGTTTGTTCATAGTCCAGTTGGATCAGGTAGCCCTTGATAAAGTCGAATTCCCTACATTGTTGGGTTTCATCCATCACACTTTCAATTCTATGTGGGGTGTCCTTTCCCAGAACGGCCCACACATCTCTGATGCAGAGCAACCGACAGATCAGACTGACGAGGATGATCATGATCGTTATGTCATGCAATGGGAGCATGACAGCAAAAGTGTTAGCTAGTAGTGTCATATACCCTGCCACCAGACTAGTGGAGAGGAACAGGAAGGTCCCAGGATTTATTCCCTTCCCTTTAGGAGATCGACTGTCTATATAAAGCACACCTCTGGCCAAGTGCATAGGTGGGGAAGTAGTAGATCTCCGGCTAATTCTTGATCGCTCCCCTTTCCATCGCACCCTGCACAGTTGATGCTCATGTATCTCCTATATCCTAGTGTGGCGTTCGTGTTATAAGTATCAGTGATAGGTCTCATACCAGCCGTAGCTGCTGTAGTCACCTTAGTATCCCAATGGGACGAGAGTTCCTTGTGCTCAGCTGCGAAGTCTGGTCAAGAAAGTAAAAGGAGACAGCCTGTGAGTCGTGCGCATGGTATCGGCGGAGTTGAGCAATGAATAGGCTTTTGTGTATATTTCTGGCTTGTAGTGTCTGAGTCCTTCCTTCGAATTGAACCAAGGCATCAATCAAAGCAGGACACAGAGGGAAGAGGAAGAGCAATGTTTGCCATCTTCGTCTGATTAAGAGATCAATGTATATACTGACTATGCGGAGTGGATATATATCGTGTGTCTTGTAATAGCAAGATGATCCTTCAAAGCACATAAGATGCTCAGGTGAAGTCGGATGTCGCGAGCTCTCCAAATGAGATAGAATATAATATCGCACTGTTTCATTTCACTTTGAAGTCGCTCGTCTCTTCTTTCGCTTTGTTGACATCTTTAAGACCGTATGGTTGGAGGTACATACCCAATCAAAATCAGTTGGGCGACGAATGATTGTTCATCGCCGTTGGTGAGTTTTCATGATATCCCATGGCTCTGGGCAAAACATAGTCTTCACTTTGCCCGATGTCGATACTACCCACGCTCATCCGAAGACACATTAGCCGTTCAGAATTAGATATCGTGGGTCTGATACACGCGGGCACCAGCATTCGTTTGAAGACTACGCCATCGCTACCGGCAGATGGTTTAGAGCCTGGACCGTCCATGTCTTCAGTTGCTGCGCGATTCTGGTGACGATGCGAGCGTCTAATCTTCAATATTTTAGGCTGGATTATCATCAACCTGCTCCTGATAGTAGATGGTTCCCTTGGTTATAAGCGATAGTAGAGTGCTTTCCTAGACTCTTCATTCGTCATCGGGGTGTTCAACATGCTTTCAAATATGAGGATTAGCCATCTTCGAGTAGTGACACGGCGTTATATCGCACCATGCATCCTGCTGGATAGAATCTCATCGACTTCGTAATATGCTTCGAATTCGGGGTCTGCGACGTGAGCCGCTTTGCCAAGAACTTTCGCGGCTTTCGCGGGGTGTTTGGTCATCCATTCAATCCCTTCTTGCCTATTGAACCGCGTTTTAGTGGCTCGCTTCGGGGCCTTCAAGGGGCCAGGCGATGGGGAGACCTCATAGAGAGCTGGGTATCGGGCAGGGGCCCCTGACTCCTGCGATCGTTCGGGTAGTTCTTGTTCGGGCGACCTGAATTCGCCGGGGGTTCGGGGGTCGGCCATGTCTATGAGCCTTCAACTAGATCGGTTCAGATAGGTGTAGCGATGCGGTAGACTTAGAGATACGCCCTACTCAATATTGGCGAGGTTGGTCTGTCGCAACGGTACTCATTGTCAATCCAAGACAAATGTAGCCCCCAGCCACCCACCCCCACGCCATCAGTTGCGCCATGAGCAAGACAAACTGGTGTATTCCGAAAATCGAATGGTCAAATAAGTACCTTCATCTTCTGGTAGGTATGGTCCAATATGAAACGAAGTTCTGCACTTGACTGTAACCATCGGGCCACTTCTTGTGACGTAACTGACTTCATGCAGGGAATAGAGCAGACTTTCTTGATGAATCGATCGACTACCACAAAGACCGAATCAGATTCATGTTCATCGGGAGGAAAGGATCGAAAGTCCATTAGGCATGGTCCGATTAGAAACGAAGTTCTGTACTTGACTGCAACCATCGACTGTAGAGCAAGTTACTGACAAGCATATCCATTGTAGACACCACCAATACTGAACAATCAGCATGTTAACCACTATTCATTTCATGCAAAGACCCCACCTCGGCGGCATTCCCTAGAAAATGGAATTATTTATAAGCATCATCATCGCCACCAGATAGAGCTCGAACAGATCCCCAATTGTTAAGAAGCCACAAGGCCAGTAGGCTGCGAATACAGGCCAGACCTCGGCCTTAGCAGCGCGAGCAGCCTCTTCAACTACCAGAATCTCCAGACTGATGTCTTCAAGGCTGGCTGGCAGGCACCAACGATGGTAGTCATGGTAGTCTCTGCATTCTAAGTACTTCTTCTAGATATCTTGGTTGCCAATATAAAATTCACCTTGTCATCCAGCGAAGGTCATGCCGTCCCGGTAATAGTTCTCAGGAAAATAGACTCTGTTTTCTGGGGGTCGAGTGCAACTCCGTCCGTCAAGGTAATGAAGCTGAGATACTTCATTCGCATCACATAAGATTCACACTTGTGGATGGCCTGTCGTGGAATATCACCTGCATGCTAGCGCAACGAGCCGTGAGGCAGACCCTTACTGAAACCATGCAAATTCCTTGGTCCATCTCATTGTTGCTTTAGATAATAAGATCGCCAAAGTAGGCGGTGACAAACTTATCCAGGTAATTCATATATACCTCATTGACCAGGGGCTGGCATGCTGCAGGGCTGTTGGTGAGTCCGAAGGGCAACACCTTATACTTATAGGTTCCATAGCGAGTGCGCAAAGCAGTGAATTCTCAGAGTCTGAGTATAAACATATTTCATGCTTAGTGAAGATCTTGGCTCGGCTGATACGACAGGGGTTCTCATCCGAAAGAAGATTATGTTATCACTCGAAAATTGCCGATGCTTCCATCCAGCACACTGTATCTGGAGCAGTGCCAGAGATAACTTTCGGAGCAGCCACGGAACGGTGTTCTAGGTAGGGGGTAAGTGAGGCGAAAGTTTTGGTGCGACAGGTATCATTTCCATTAAGCGTGAGTAATCTGGCCGTACTTGCCAGGCTTGGACTCCGGAGAGCCAATATAGCCAGAATATTGAAGTGTATTATCCAAGACTGCTCAATGTTCTTGACGCGCTTGTCAGGAATAGGAGAGTTTTGCACAATTGCCTTTTACTACCAATCTTTCAAGCATATCTACACATGCATCTCGACAATTGTCACAAGTCTCTCATTCGTCGCAAGCATCTTTACTGGGAGTGATGAATAGAATTCAGTGATGAAGGTTTCCAGCATTGCTGAGAATCTCGACTGGGACGAGAAAAGGTTCCAGTCCAGAAGGAGATATTTGCTAGCTGCGAGTTCTGAGTCCTACGGACAGGTGAAATACTGTGACCATTAAGAGGTTCAATATTCAGGTGATTCCCTCATGCCATGGTAGCGTAGCATCCATCACCCACCGCTGGAGAGCTTCGTTTTAGCCAACCTTAGATGATGCTATATGCACCGGCCAGGGATTTGGTATTGTCTCCATTTGCAAGCTCGAACCTTGTCTCAGGACTTCTCCAACCTTGTCATCTGTTTCCGAATCCGTGATCTATTTTGGAGTTGAATGTAGGCTATCAGCGGATTTCCTTTTCCCTTTATCGGCACAATCAAGAAAAGGGACAATAGTCCGTGGCGAACGACGTACCAACTCTGGTCAGGGATTTGATAGTGCATCCAATTTCTAACTCGAACCTTGTTCAGGTCTTTGCGAACTTCCAATCTGTTCCCGAATTTCTGTTGGTGTGAATGCATCCTACCACCGGATTTCCTTCTCCTCTATCGGCGCAAGAAGAAAAGGGAAGCAGTATCCGTGGTGAACGACGTATCTTCTTTGTGAGCTTTCCTGCGACCTCAGTAACACATAGTTTACTGACGACAGAGACACCGTTGTTGTTGTCATAGCCTTGCTGTGTCCAGGACTGTCAAGGGGTATCTCAGATGCAGACTACGAATATATATATAAATATCTCCAGGCGATTCTAGCTGTCTTGGTTCGGCGAAGAGAGCAAACTGATTGTATACGGTATCCGATATAGCAGCACGAATGCGTTGCTGATAGCAGGTCTCCGCTGAAAGTGATGATTAGACTTGCCCACCCGATTGCTTGAGGTATTCCAGGTGAACCAAAGGACATAGTTAGGGTCTGGCTGGAAAAGCTATATGATTGGCATCAAGTGATTCCTCCTAGTTGTGCAGAAGATTGCATGTTGGGAAGTATATGTTGTATGGACACCAAGAATGAGTCAGTTTCTTAGTGCTTGTAGAAACAACCCTCAAAGTCGGTTCCATGCGAGAGAAAAACCAGCCTTGATGTTGACTGCATCCTTGCCTGCCCCATCAGCCTCAGTCTCAGTGATCATATCCGTGGTCCTCCAAGCATGGGTATCGCTAGACGTTTTGGATAATGACAACATTTGATGAGCTTTTCCTGAGATGCACTGTGAAGTCCTTGAGCAATGAAGGATGAAGAGGGCCAGACAGAGGCGCGGCAAGACCATTGATTGTTCTCACAGGTCGAGATGCTGGGTGGTTGCTGCGTTATATACTATGTAGTAGTCATATACAAAAGAGACACTCCAGCTGCGATACAAGTATCGCGTAGCGGGTTCTGATCTCCTAATGTCCTTGTTTTTCAGAGAGCCCAGTGCTGTCGTTCAGAGTCACGGACTTGTGCCCTGTTTGTTGGTTGCCGCCAATTGCGATAATGACTGCCCATTGGCGTATGATACAGTCATAGTTTTGCATCGAAATATATACTATAATGAATGCATGATAGGGAGCTGGAGAACTGCCCTCTGAGGCTTGTTCTTCTTCCTTTGTGTTCCTGATCCAGCCACAAAAGCCAAAGGGGGTAGGGAGGTATTTATACCTGTTTTGAGACCACAATTCCATTTTCCTAGAGCGGGAGATTCCAGTAGTCAAGGTCATCTCTCTATACCAGCCATAGGAAGTACCCCAAAATCATCATCTCATGGCAAGGTAATCTCCGCCACTGCTTTCCTGACCGGAAATGGCCGACAAAATGGAGTTATTCGACAGCAATTGTTAATAAACAGCTACCACATAAATTGCACGTCAGACTCTACTCTGTCAAACAGTGAAAAATCCCGCTACCTCAGAGATGCCAACGAATATTACCTACGCTAGACCGGGTCCACCCCACGTAGTTTGGTGAATCCAATCCTCACTCACGTCTATATATACGACCTCATCCTCTGCCACCAGTCATATCAAGCACCCACCCCCACAACCCCAAGCCTTCTTCTATATACATACAAACCCACCCTATACTACTTCACATGTGCCTAACCAGAATCACCATCGCCCGAAAGATCACGCGCCATCAATTCGACATGTCTACCACAGACCACACCATCGCGGAACTGATCCCAATGTGCAAGTTAGCATTCCAGAAATGCCTCACCTTTCCTGCTCTCTACAATCACGAATGGGCACAGCATTGTCTTCTCGATTTCAACCACTGGGTGTATCAGATCGGACCTATATTGATCTCGTCACAGAGCTCCGACTCACAGGGGGATATAGTTCAAACTGATAAGGCAAAAGACGCCTTATTGTCGCTGCATCAGTCCCTACTGGCCTGCGCTCAATGCGCGGAAGCTGGTGGCTCCTGTAGGGAGGCTATTCGGAATGTTGATTCGGCGCTTGAAAGTATGGTTACTGTGGGGAAAGAGGTTCAGCAGAGGGAAATTGAGTTGAGGGATATCGAGGGCAGGTTTGAGTATATTGAGGCTGGGGCTGAGTATATTGGGTAACTTGTTCATAGGATTATATGCTGTGGGCTGGTTGGTTTTGTCGATACTACTATACTACCACCGGGTACATACGCATCAGATTGGATAATTTGGAGTTGCAAGATGCAGAGAGTGAGGTGTCCATGTGATGCTTAGCAGAGCTGTTTGCTATTTATATAGATCGAACTTGCTTACGGAATTACATAATGAACTAATATTGCTGTCGGTTTATATTTGATTTTATAGAAGCAATGTAACTAGTGATGGTTAAGAGTAGTAGTCAGCAATTACTGTGGCAGATGTTTAGTCCATGGTTAGTATGCGAAATTACTTTTCAATACGACTCTTTGGTTTGTACGCTCTCGCCTGGAGCCACTACTAGTATGCCCATTGCTATTAATTCCTCCCAGTCTTCGGTAAAACCTTCTCCTTCTCCAACTCACTCAAACATCCATCCAACGCATCCCAAGTATCCTCCCAGTCGCGGAATCCCAGCTTCCACGCCTTATTCATACTAATTACCAGATCATAATTCCTTCCCAGCACAAAGTTAAGGAAAAACCATGTCGCCTTCTCAAACGCATCCTTCTCCAACCCCTCCCTCTTTGCCAACCTCTCCCACGCAGCCTTCACATCATCTCTCTGTGCCCACTTGGTCAAATCAATGCGCATACGCACCTCACCCTTCTCAACCCTCCCTTTGAGTCCACTCGTCTGCACGTAATCCTTCAACGGGGGGTTTTCACTCAG